AAACAACATGGCTTCATGTACTCGGACACTCGCCAACAGCAGCTAAAGGCTAACAACTGATCAATATGCTGAAATGATGTCTTTTAAGATCGCTTTTAACAGCCTTTTTGTTCAATCTCCTGACTTAGGAGAAACTATACCATCCTATAATGAGAACCTAAAATGTGCTAAGACATCAAAATTCTCGTTCAGCTTACCTACTCTTCGTCAAAGACTTTTCGTCGCTTATCTGAATTATGTGGCAGCTTCAGGGTCGTTTAGGTGACTCCAAATAAAAATCTACTCATCCCTGAAAGGCGCTAGTCAGACCATCAGAGAGTTCGTGTTCTTTTGAAGGTTTCTCCTGAAACGAACATGGTAATGTACAATGTTTGTCATAGAGACGAGATAATCAGCCTAGACAGACCGTACAGTGACGCGAAAATAATTGCTTAATACCTGTGCACTGATCTCTAAAGAAATTGTTCTAAATGAACGAATCTACGAGCATCAACTAAGGCGAGGTTCCCAGCGCCATTTTAGTTTCCGCCTCAGACGAAACTGCAACCTCCGAAAAGAATGGGACGTATCATCTCAGAAAGATCACGAGTTCAGATGCCAACAATTAAACGCGAGTGGCGTGACCAAAGTAACACTCATTTCCATACTCTGGAAGGGCGTTGACACATTAATGATTCATACACAAAGTAATTCTCTACAAAGGAAAGAAATGCATTGACTATCAATATTGATTAGGGTTTAATAAGCCCTGAAAATAGTGATTAGGGTTAAGCACTCACTCGAAAACGGTTAGCTGGTTAGCTTCTATTTAGGGTTAGGGTTGTTGCTATAAAGCTTCAAATCAAACCCTTAATCGTCAGCAAATCCTCGGTGGTGTAGCAGATCCGATGACCGGGATCGAATCATGCTCGTGCCAACCTGGAATTTTTTCCTTAGAAATTGAAGAGACTGACTTTCATGAACATTTTATCAAGCAGAAATTTCAAGAGACAGAAATTTCATGTACGAAAAGTGAAATGTCTCGTGAGAGCCACGGAGAGGAAAATGCCTTTCTGGATTATGGAAATAAGTGCTAATTTAGACACACGATGTAGAAAGTCACGGGATGCATCTAACGCAGACAAAGGGGCTATTTTAAAACGTGCCGACTAGTTCTGGGCAACTCATAAAAGTAACGACAGATAAAGAATGAATGGCGTAGGTGTCCAGGACTTTAAAACTGTCGTTCATATGTCGCAGTGCGTAGCCCATGATTTAAACCCAGTCCGCCCGACACTCGCGTTCCTTTTCCTTAAGAAGCGGATTTTTTCTTACCAAGGCAAAACTGATTCGCGTCCACGTATCGCTTTCAAATCATTTTCACCCAACTAAACTTATCCCATTCTGTTTAAATAATAGAGACATGTATTTTCACGGATTGGCCTTTAGATCATTTTACAGTTCTCCCGCGTACCAATCAATGTTTGATCGATAAAAACCACTACCACTCTTACTTAGTACCACGGCCTATATCGGAGGCTCCGCCTTAAAGTGGTACCCTTTTTAGGCTTTATGTATCAGTGAAAGGGTAGGGATTTCTGTAGCTGAAGTATATGAAAGGTAAGAGCAATCTGTCATATTGGTCTGTAAAATGACCTAGAAGGGCTACAGAAGGATTTTATGGCGAGAAAATGTTCCGTTATTTATTTATTTATTTATTTATTACTAGTTTAAAGACAGTGTATTTATAGCAGTTAAAAGGGATGCAAAGTTCTTAACTATTGTATGTTTTTGAAGGCGGTACCATTTGCCAGTGGAAGGTATTCTTGGTTTGCAACCACGTGACGAGGCGGCAATATTGGGGGTCAAAACAATAAAATTTGAGTCTCTAAAGATTTTTGATGAAAATAGAGTTAACTTCCCAGTTCTTGACCACTGACATGGCTGTCGTGACGTCACGTGCAAACCAGGAATACGAAACAGTACTATTTCTGTCAAAAATGTTGCCTGTGTACAGACCCCCCATCCCCTCAGGAAACATCGAAGAGGGGGCGTCTGTAATTCACCTTTGCTAATAATATAATCGTGTGTGGAGGCCACGTGATTATTCCCGGAATGTGTGGAAAAGGATTTGATTGGCTGTTACTCGTAGATCACTTCATCATCATGTAAATAAGGGATTTTGGTTGGCTTTAGGGTCTGACGTCAAAACACACTTGTCAACCAAAAAATCACATTCACGGACAAATACACACAATAGCTTTTCAGATCTAGGGATTTCAAAGAAAAGAAAAAGCAAACTTTATTGAAAGATTCTTTCTTCTCCGATTTTTCCTGAGGGGAGGAGGTGGGGGGGGGTTATCAACAATGGTATATAAAAGGGTAAGGGGTTGGACCTCGGGGTGGAGTTTCCCCGTCTAAAACTTTCTACTGTACCCCAGGCCTAGTACCTAGTCTTGCCTCTGGACCTCTCTTAAGTTGCAAATCTTAAAAATTGAAACATTCTTATTCCGGATGAGATCCGCTGCTGTCACTTCATCGCTTTCACGCTGGCTCACGGGAGATGGTGACCGTTACCTCGAATATTCCACTACGTGTAATTAAACCCAGGCCAGAGAGAGTTGTCGTTTGTTTGTTTGTGTTTTTGAACATTTCACAGGGAAACAAAAAAGAAACAACGATGTTTGAATTTCTCTCTTTTTAACGATATATGCAAAAAAAGGCTTATTAAAGAAACAACGATGTGTTTTAAACGGGGGAAAAGGGGAGATTTAAAGGAAGTTTTGTTGGGGCTGTGCTAGCTGCTGAAACTCTGCGATTTTGACCCTGTTTAAGGCAAAATACACTAAATTTGCAACCCTGTTAAAGACGCTAAATAGTGAAATTGGATACTTAAGATTGAAGATCCCATAACCCCTCCCCCATCTGTTAACTCCAAAGAGAACCGTTCTCCATATATGGAGGCGAAGAGACAATACCGTATCGTCAAGACATCATGACTGGTTTCGGTCTCGTGTGTGATAGATCTACTGTATTTACCCATTTTTTAGGCCAGTTTTCCAAAATGTACACAAGCGTACTTGTCAACCGAAGTTTTCATGCTAAAGAACAATTTCACTACAGTTTCGCTCAAAAGCAATGCTAAATTCTCAGTGATTTTAATGGTGCGCGATTAAACATTCCATTTGTACGTTACCGAGCACAACTTTTAAGGCGTACAGATAACACAACTATGAATGTATTCTGAGTATTTTTCTGTCTTTTCGCGTTTTTTAGGCATGATCTTAGCTTGCGAAAGCATCCGGTGTCTTCGGCTCTAGTTTCTACTTTCACTACCAGAATTGACTGTGTGGCACGAAATTTTTGCGGGTTCTAATTTTTGCGATTTTTCCAGCTATCCGCAAAAATAAGTTCCCGCAAATAAAACTTGCCGCAAACATTTTTCCCGCAAAAATTTCCTCTAGAGTAAATAAATATTCTCTAACTGAAGGTACGGAAAAACGGGCAACAAAAAACGTGCAACTTGTCTTGCAACACTGCTGGAAAACGAGTTGAATAGCGATGTTGTGCGCTTTACATCAAACCCGTCTTGCAAGAAATCAGGTTGTCAACAGGTTTGAACGTGCGTGGTAAAACGCGCAACACCGCTATGACCCGTTACGACGGGAACCTGACACAAACTTTATGCGCTGGATTGATATTTGCACAATACAAATCAATAAATATTAATTATTATCATTAAACTTGTCCAGTGAAGTAATCGCAAACAGATTTGATAAAAAAAGTTTCCATAGTCTCAGAATGTACAATTTGCACAACTGCATGCTAACAAACCTTAAACCGAACATTATTATGAAAGTGCAAGTCTTTGTACAATGTACCTAGCTGCTACTTACATAGAGGATCTGTATAAGAGCTGAAAATTGGCCAACATTTCAACCGTCAGCCAAAGAATTAACGATTTTCTTTAACTTATAGCGGAGTTCTGAGGTACAAAAAAATTAACAGATGGACGAGATATCGCCGAAAGTCTGGCTGATAATTAATATACGATCATACCCATGTAGATTCTCCATGCTAATTCCTTTATTTATGAACTGATTTTTTTATCATTACATGAACTAACTTGTTGCCAGGCTTTAACAAGGAAACCAGATCCGTCGCTAGCGTGCTATTTGTAAAACTCATCTCGTTCTTTCAATGTAAATGACTTGATCAAAAAGTGAGTAACTTTAATATTTTTCTTTGCCTTTTTTAACTTGCATTTTCTGGTTCTCTCCAAAAAAGCAGAGAAACAAAGTAGAGAAAGAGAAAACCGAACGATTTCCAACTTTCAATATGGGATACGGTTACCGTGTACATCGTAAAGTTTCTTCTGAACAGATTCCCTCATTTCATTACCAAGCCACAAACATTAGGTTTTCAGAGTGTGTTTGTTTCTAGCGCTTTAGTAAGGGCCCCAGCACCAGCAGAACCAAGGTTATTTTTCAACAAACACAAATATGTCAGATTTGTGTTGGTTTCAAGCGCTGTAGCAAGTGACTCAACACCAGCAAAACCAAGGTTATTTTTCCACAAACACAAATATGTCAGCTGAGTTGTGTTTATTTCAAGCGTTTTGGCAAGGGAGTCATCACCAGCAGAACCATGGTGATTTTTCAACAAACACAATTATGTCAGAGTTGTGTTTGTTTCAAGCGCTTTAGCAAGGGACTCAGCACCAGCAGAACCATAGTTATTTTTCAACAAACACAAATCTGTCAGAGTCATGTTGGTTTCAAGCGGTTTAGCAAGGGAGTCATCACCAGCAGAACCATGGTTATTTCTCAACAAACACGAATATGTCAGAGTCGTGTTGGTTTCAAGCGCTGTAGCAAGTGACTCAGCACCTCCAGGACCAAGGTTATTACGTATCAAACCCAAATTTGTCAGAGTTTCAGTTTGTTTTAAGCGCTTCAGCAAGTTCCTCAGCACCAGTAGGACCAAGGTTATTGACAGACAAATCCAAACTTGTCAGAGTTTCAGTTTGTTTTAAGCGCTTTAGCAAGTGACTCAGCATCAGCAGGACCAATGTTATTGTCAGAAAAATCCAAATTTGTTAGAGTTGTGTTTGTTTTAAGCGCTGTAGTAAGTGACACAGCATCGGCAGGACCAAGGCTATTGTCAGCCAAACCCAAATGTGTCAGCGATGTGTTTGTTTCAAGCGCTGTAGCAAGTGACTCAGCACCGGCAGAACCAAGGTTATTACGCATCAAACCCAAATTTGTCAGAGTTGTGTTTGTTTTAAGCGCCTTAGCAAGTGGCTCAGCACCAGCAGGACCAAGGTTATCGACAGACAAATTCAAATTGGTCAGAGTTTTGTTTTTTTGAAGCGCTGTAGCAAGTGACTCGGCGTCAGCAGGTCCAAGGTTATTGCCAGACAAATCCACATTTGTCAGAGTTGTGTTCGTTTTAAGCACTGTAGCAAGTGACTCTGCACCTCCAGGACCAAGGTTATTAACAGACATTCAAATTTGTCAGAGTTTCAGTTTGTTTTAAGCGCTTTAGCAAGTGACTCAGCATCAGCAGGACCAATGTTATTGTCAGAAAAATCCAAATTTGTTAGAGTTGTGTTTGTTTTAAGCGCTGTAGTAAGTGACACAGCATCGCCAGGACCAAGAATTTGTCAGCCAAACCCAAATGTGTCAGCGATGTGTTTGTTTCAAGCGCTGTAGCAAGTGACTCAGCACCGGCAGAACCAAGGTTATTACGCATCAAACCCAAATTTGTCAGAGTTGTGTTTGTTTTAAGCGCCTTAGCAAGTGGCTCAGCACCAGCAGGACCAAGGTTATTGACAGACAAATTCAAATTGGTCAGAGTTTTGTTTTTTTGAAGCGCTGTAGCAAGTGACTCGGCGTCAGCAGGTCCAAGGTTATTGCCAGACAAATCCACATTTGTCAGAGTTGTGTTCGTTTTAAGCACTGTAGCAAGTGACTCTGCACCTCCAGGACCAAGGTTATTAACAGACATATTCAAATTTGTCAGAGTTGTGTTTGTTTTAAGCGCCGTAGCAAGTGACTTAGCACCAGCAGGACCAACGTTGTTGCCAGAAAAATCCAAATTTGTCAGAATTGTGTTCGTTTTAAGCGCTGTAGCAAGTGACTCAGCACCGGCAGGACCAAGGTTATTGCCAGAAAAATTCAAATTTGATAAACTTGTGTTTGTTTTAAGCGCTGTAGCAAGTGACTCAGCACCTGAAAGGACCAAGGTTATTTCCAGACAAATTCAAATTTGTCAGAGTTGTGTTTGTTTCAAGCGTAGTAGCAAGCACAGCAGCCGCAGCATCACCTATACCTTCCCCTTCAATACGATCCTCGTCAAGATCAGCCTCTCGAATTTCTAGACATGCGCCAAAGTAACGTGCCAGTTCTATATGAAAAAAAATGTTTTCAATTTTGCATTCTTTTATGCACTCCAGTGCGACAGGTAAACCTTCTCTCACATCTTCTTTGTTTATCTCTTCCGCTATGTAGAGGATAAAGCATATTGCACTCTCTTCAGATCTTACTGCTAGCAGACCACAGGTAAATTTTAATACCTCTCTCAACTCTCGGAAATATCTTGTGTCACTGACTAATACAAAGGGACTGAGTTGTTCGCTAAGAAGCTGGCAACAAAGATGATATCCTGCGAAGAATTCTTGAAAACTCTTATGCGTGAAGCCGTAGCACAGACACGGCCTTCGTTTGCTGCTTCCAGGTTGAGCTGACAGAAAGCCAAATTCAGGTAAGTCGGCATTTTCACTTGAAAGCCTTTTGTCCTCAAAGTACAAGTTGTCTTCATACAGGCCGTCTAACGCTATCGAGCCAAGGAGTTTCAACTGATCTTTGTAGATTTCAATCAGATCCTCACTTTCGACTGGAAGACCTTTCTTCTTCCTGTATCTAATAAGAACACAATGTGCTATTTCCAAGTACAATTGAGTTCTGCTTTCAGGAAAAATACCTTGAAAGTCTTCACAAAGAAGGCAAAGAAGTGCAGTGTTTAAAGGGGTTGCCGCCAAATCTCTGAGTATTTTCTCATTATGTATTTTTTCCAATAGCCTTTCAGCCAAATCTTCCTTGGCGACAAAATATTTGTGAATAAATTCTTTGATATCTTGATAAGTGAAACCTTCTATCTCTAGAAGGGTGTCACAAACTTTTCTTACGGGTATTCCAGCCTCGTGTCGCGCTGTAACCACAAGGTGACACAGAGGAAGCATTTTGCCTCGTATGATGTCGGTAAACTCCGGCCGTTTACTTGAAGGTAACTCGTCCAATTCGTCAAGTACCAGTAGAACCTTTGATTGATTTTGCCGAATGAACTCGAAGAATTTCTCTCTTTCCTTTTGATTAATTTCACCTGGCAAAAGCTGATCGTCAATGGCTCCCCAAAGGTCGGACTCGATCTCGACATCACGGCATTTCAGCAAGAGTACCATTTCAAATTCCGGAAAGCAATCTCCTTCGTTTTTTATGTTTATAGCCCAATCGTAAGCAACCTTATTGCAGTATGTCGTCTTTCCCATTCCTGGGTTTCCTTCAATCAATACTTTTCTAGGTTGTTTGCATTCTTCGTGGGGGTTGAAGATTTCAGTGGTTTCAACAACTCTTTGCTCTGCTGTTGCTCTTGCCTTTTTCTCTCTGCTGACCATACGAGGGCGTGTATAAATATCGCTGAGTTGAAAGTGAAAGTCTTCGCACCAAGAAAAAGGCGCGAGCCATCCCTCATGACGTTTGTACTTCTGGCGAATAATTTCAATATGCTCGGCCACCAAACCAGCTGTTGAGAACAAAAGAGAACCAACTTTGTTTTAAATAGTTGTCTAAAACAGCTCGGTTTGCTACTTTCCAAGTCCGTAAGGCAAATGAATAGAACTACCAATATGACTATGCTAGGAGAAGACCATTTATTTATTAACTACCCTAGCCATGTGCAGCGCCTTAAAAGCAAGCGACAAACATTTCAAACTAGCGGCAGGGGGAACCTTCAATAAGTAAGTGGAAGATGCTAAAGGCCCTCTTTTTTATTTAAGAACAGCCTTTTAGCAGGCCACTGTAATTTGCGAGAAGCAGCTGAACATAACAAAAAAAGGTGGGCGACCACTCGGTATTGAAACCAAGATGGCCTCCATGCTAGTAGGAGGTTCCAACGCCACCATCCTACAGTAAAATAGCGTTTATGTCATCCCTCATCCTACTCACTGAGAGAATTATGGAAGGCAAATATATAAGTTGCAGCCCTTTGGTCTCTCTTGTGAATATGAAGCTGTTCTTGTGGGACCCAAGAGACATTTGTAAGAAAAATAACTACTGATCGATCAGCAATAATGGCTTTAAAGAGCCATCTAAGAGGGATTCTTTTATGGCCGCAGTTTGGGAAACTGACCTTCCTCTTTGGTCGGAGAGACCTTTAAGGTCTGCAGTGTCTCACTGATGTTTTCTATCCCGCTTTTTATCTTCTTTAAATCTTCTCTTGTTCCATCTGTTAGTGAGAAGAATACACAAAGCAAAATTAGACTTTCATCACACACCCTTTATAGACGATAAGATAAAGTTATGTTTGTTCAAAGAATAATTTAACCTTGTAAGTGACGGTCTTCTTCATACAGGTGATCAATAAAAGCTGATTAGAATAAATTTCATAGCAATATAGCAATACATATAGTAATTAAAAGAAAGGGTGCCCAAGTTACGGAATTTGGAATTAACATCGGGAACTGATCCCTCGGCGTTCCTCGGCCTTCCTGATCGCTAATATTGTCTATTTTCTTATCATGTGTTTTATGATTTGTAATAAGAGAAATAGCATAGTTTTGTTTATCACTCCTACCTTACGAGGTCTTAAAAATTTGATATTCAGTTTGTTTAAAACATGATTAGAAGTTAGCTTGACTCAAAGAACTCATAAATCTTGCATGGTTTCCTTTTTTGAAACTGACCTCCACACTCTGCTGCGGAATTTTTCATAGCCTTCAGCGTCTCACCCAGATTTCCCATTTCACTTTTCATGTGCTCAAGATTACCTATGATTTTACCAGGAGAAAAAAAATTAAGTTACCATCAGTTACTCGCCAACTGAGATAATAACTAACTCGTCTGCCATTCGCTTGCCACTCTTTTTCTAACACATTTTGTTTATTAATGAATAACCAAATACGTATATTGCTTTTCGTACGTCAAGGTGTATTCGCACCACTACAACTCCCTAATAGAATCAATAGCCTTAAGCGTTAAACTAAACCTGCTTGCAGTCCTTCTGTCGGATGTCAGTTTATTCTTTTCCAAATGTGTTCGCGATCTTTGGAAGCAGAAGTTAATTTTGGCCAATTCAAAACTTTCAGTTGAACCCCAACTACACCCTATTAAGGTCAGAAAAAGACACTTATTTCTCAAAGGCACTAAACAATATTCATCTATACCCTCCATTTTATCTAGCTGGTCTTTGATGTTGTCTTCGTCTTTCTTCCATTCCTTTAACAGCTCCTGGTAATGCTTCTTCGTGTCTGGATCCATAGTCTCAGTCTTTAGTTTTGTGATAGCGGCTGCATCTACACCCAGTGCAATCAGTGCGGCACTTATGTCCTGCCACAAAGAATTAAATGTTGGTTCGTCCACAGACGCCTGCATGGCATGCCCATAGACCGAGTTCCTATAGTACTTCACTCTGGCTAGGTTAGCCTCAATACCCGTGTCTGAAGCAGGTGGAAGACCGTCCCAACCCGTGGCCGGAGCCGCCAGATGACACATGTTCCTAAGTAGCACAATCAGTAGCGTGATGTCAAAGTCCTCTGATGTTACAGACAATGCAGTAGAGGGATACAGTCTACCCCACTGTGTGGCATTGATGATTTTCTTATTTTTAAGGGATTGCAGAGTTGAATGGTTTGCTTTCAATACAGTAGACAGGTTTGCTGGGTAGTATAATTTGTCAATCTTAAGGCCTTGGTGCCTCCATCTACTAAAAGGCGACATAACCTTGCGTAATTAGTGGTCTCCTTGGTGGATGAAGCTAATGTTGGAGTAGACGCCATCAGAGTAAACCTGCAAAACATAATTTAGATCCCTATAATAAAAAAGCAACCAAATTTTCACCAATGTTATATGCTCTATTTTTCACTAGTGCCTTGAGTTGGAATTTGCATGAGTTGTGAGTTTACATGAGTTGTGACAACACTGATTGTTATCTACAGATTGAAAAAATAAGAATGAGCACTCAACGTGAGTTACGCAGGAGTGTCAACGAGTTCTGAATAGAATATTTGTTCTTCATATCACTTATCCCTGACTTCCACAGTATCACTGCTGGGCCCCTTTCTTTAGTGAACCGTTGCACCTTCTGCTCGGCTGTCTGACCAGTCACTCAACATCAGTCCTCTCTTAGACCTCTTAGTACAATAAGATTAAAAAGCATTCACCAAATGGAAGTAAATGTTGTTTGCATGGACATAAAAAAATGAATCAGGGGTTTTGTTGTTATCAAGAAACCTTAAACATTTTCTGGTGAAGTTAAAGGTTTCTCGGTATTAGGTTACCGATGCCAATTTTTTTCCCCAAAGTATTAACCCTTGTATTGAAAATCATAGTTCATTTTGGTCGTGGAAGAAGAGTGCAACTGCTGAATATGTTGATCACAAAATTGTGATGCAGATTAAGTTGGTAAAATACGGAATATTTCTACACTCTTGTGATGGTAGCTTAACATTGGTCAACAAGCTAAACTCGTGGACAAACGTTCAGGGATACATTTGCATACGTGGGACTTTCCTTGAATCACACATGCCCAACCCCCCCCCCCACCCCACAAACGAGGTAAGACGCGTGTATCCAGAATTTTCGCAAGTTTCAACAGTATAGAGTGGGAGAGAGAACTTGAGATATTTTCAAAGAGGTTGTAAGTTTTTATTAGGGAACCAAGAAATGTCAGAAAATTATGAATAGTACATCACTATTCCAAGGACGTTTGTCCAGGATTGGAGCTAAGAAAGAGTAAACTTCACACCAAGTCAACCTCTATTAATTCTATCAGTAACACGAGGAAAGGCGAGCGGCGAGCTCAAACTGATAAATCCGCGCGACTGCGCAGGACTTTGCGCAAGTTTAAGGAATCAGTAATTGCTTGATAACAAATATAAGTAGATCCGCAACATTCTAAAGAATTTATAATTTATATGGAAACCTTAACCCAGTAAAGAGAGAATTAACTGTTCATAGTGTTTGAGAAATGAATGAAATTAAAGTCAGCAGCGTTATTGTCCACAATTAAGCGAAGGGGAACCCCAGATAGGTGAGGTAACATGTGGCGGCTCACCCCACCTATCATGTAAACGTGACCAAATTAAAATGAGAGATAATATGAACAGGTCGGTTACCTCACCTACCTGGGGTCCCCTACCTCCATGTAAACAGGCCCTAAATCATGCAAAGAGGTGTTGTTCAAAACACATCAGAATAACAAGACTCGCCAATAGGCGATTTTAACTGGGCTACCAATTTTCCTGGGGAGAGGGTGACCGCTCACACTCAGGCCACCAGGCTTGTCGCTGACCATTGCGTGACATAGCATCTCATGTGAGAATTTCAAAAACATTTACTCATTCGAACATTGTACCCTTTTGGAAGACTTTCGTAACAAGAAAAATGAGTACCATTTTTAAGTCGGGGCTGTATAGTACCTTTTCAAATTCCACCATTATGAACAAAAAATAAGCAAGTGAACCATTCTAAACAAGAAACAATATTATATAATATTATACAATATTATATTTTCACGCACCCTCCCCAATCCCTGTCCCCCCAAAATATAGTGTGACTAATTTGACCTAACCGGAAATTCCCCAAGACATTTCTTTCACACAAAAAGCAAGGATCGCAATAAGATAAAAAGACATTGGCCGTCACATTTTAGACGATTTAAATTTCAACATAAAGAGAAGAGAAAACTTAAAACCGATCCATCCTACTATCTTTTGAAACTGGCACTGATAAAAAGTGGAAAAGATAGCTTGAGAGACGTCTTTATTCACTGGATGTACTCACACACGCTCTAGCCACAAACACAGAGAGATTTGCAATCACGTTTTAAAAGGGAAAACATCATCCAAAGGTTTAAACTTCAACAAATGGTGAAGAAAAACCCCAAAACGTACTCATCGTAGTCTTTTGAAGGAGACGATGAAAAGAACACAAACACATCTATATTTCAATGGCTGCCTTCTTCATGTCAAGCCATCATAGAGTTCAAAGTTGTCCGTTTTTACGACATAAATCCTCGGGGGGTACTCTCTTACATTAACCTTATAGATACTGCTCTGAAATAGCGTTAAGATTAGGAGAGCCGGACGGTGCAGCCCCTCTACGACTTGCCAGAAATAACCCTGCGAGAAAAAAATGGAACTCATTTTATAAACTGGGCTGCCCCACAGGCAGCCCAGTTAGTAAATGGCAGCTCTCCATGTCACATACTTTGGGAAATTTCAATCTTGTTGCAATTTGATCGATAACGTCAATTATTCGGTTCGCGACAACTTAAACGTCGGGCGGGAAAAAAAGGAGGCAAGCTTTTTTGACCATCTGAACTGTTGCTCTGAGTAAAAGACATAAAAGGATTGCATTACAAACCAAACTTCCTTTTTCACTATTAATATGCAAATTGTAACTTTCCTTTTAAATTTCGATTTCATTTCCCTGATGCTCAGTTGTTCTCAAGACTTCGTTTAATGAGAAAGAATTAAATTGACAAACACCTCAAGTTTTATTAATGCTCAACGAAATATAGTCAAAGTTAGGAACCACAAGAAATACAACTAGAGCGTCTCTGGTTACTGATGCGGGAACATTAACATTACTATTTGCATTTACAGGGACCGCGCAGAGGGAGGGGCTGGGGGGGCTTTAGCCCCCCCACTTTTTTGCAAGAATAAAAATGAATTAAACAAAAAATAATTTAACAAAAGTAACGGAGTGAAAAATAGCAATGAAAATCGTTAATTCGAAAGTGACCAGAGTTACTGGCAATAGACAGAATGAAGCATTAGTCGTTACAATTGTAAAATATTTTTTCGCTTCTAACCTAGCAGAGGTAAACGTCTTTTAAATGGCTTCTTTTTTCCTGCGGACCTCTCAGGAAGACGTGTTGTTTCGTAATTGGTCAATTTCGATCCAAAGTAATAACTGGGTTTAGTTTATAAGGCGATTCTCAAACAAATTGTTTATTAGTTTCAACCTTGATTTTTGGAAGATCATGAAGTTATTGTTTGTCTTGTTATTGTGCCGTGCGTCCTGATTTTAGCTCGATCAGCGCGAAGTCCGCCTCGTGCAATAATTGCTCAGTAATTATACAGCCTTGAGTTCAAGGCAGCTCAAGCAAAATCGTTGGATTTCTGGCTTATTTCTAGTAATTAAAGGTTGATATCAGTAGTATAACATAACAATCTATGAAATTTCAATGTAGTGATGGTGAATTTTCAGACCCGATAGCAACATCACTGAAGATGTGGAAAAAAATCAATAGTTTTATCGTTATTCGCATTCTCCGTCACTTTAGAGAAATTGAATAGAAATCCACAAGCATGCGCCCCTCCCCGCCCCCCCCAAATTTTCCTTCACGCATTCTTCTTTAGCCCCCCCACTCGAAAACTTGCTGCGCGGTCCCTGATTTACAAAGAAGAGTGATGACGTAAATCAGAAAGAAACCTAAACATTGTCATCAATATGAGTTTTTTTCAAAAGAGTAAACAGTACTTACTAAAAGTCGTGCAAGACCAAGAGAAGAGGCCAGTGAGAAGAAAGAAACGAATTTCTCCTACTGAACACGAATCGATCGCTTGTCTAGAAAGCAATAAACAACATGCCATGTGCTCGGTTATTCGCCCGGCAACAACAACTGTTTAAAGGCTAACAACTGATCAATATACTGAGAAGAAGTATTTTGAGATTGCTTCTAACAGCCTTTTTGTTAAGTCTCTTTACTTGGGAGAACGTTAGGAGAAACTATACCACGATCCTATGATCAGAACCTACAATAATGCTAAGACATCAAAATTCTCGTTCAGCTTACCACCTTCTCCACGTCAAAGACTTTTCGTCGCTTATCGGAATAATTAGGCTTCAGGGTCGTTTAGGTGATTCCAAATAAGAATCAATTCATCCCTGAAAGGTGCTAGTCAGACCACCAGAGAGTTCGTGTTCCTTTGAAGGTTTCTCCTGAAACAAAAATGGTAATGTACAATGTTTCCTGATACTAGAGCGACGAAATGATTAGTCTGGACAGACGGTACAGCCACAAGAAATCAATTACCTGTCAAATACCTGTGCAAGCCAAAGCCTATTGTCGAAGAAAAGGTACTAAATGGACGAATCTACGTGCATCAACAAAGGCGAGGATCCCAGCGCGCCATTTTAATTTCCTCAAACGCAACTGCGTACTTCTGAAAAGAATGGGGCGCATCACCGTAGAAACATCGGAGATGTCATCAATTATACGCGACGTAGCGTGACCAAAGTTAAATTTAGACACGCGATGTAGAAAGTCATACTATGCTAAGATCACGGGATGCATCTAACGCAGACCTAGAGCCAAACCCTAATAAAGGAAAATCTGGAGACTCATGAAATAAAATCGGGAGATTCTACAAAAAGTAGTAAGATTCTTTTTTTTCCCGAACAAGATTAAATGAACCCTTTTTCCATTGGGGGAATTATCTGTTTGCTTAAACAGAACACTGTTTTGGTGTGGTCCCTCTTGCAACGAATAAGATACCGCTTTTTCTTTGATGAATTTAAGACGCCAGAGAATAGGTCATCACTTGGTCGAAACTTACAGCAAAGGGTAGTTTTTTCCGGATAAGTCAACTTCATGGCTAAAATTTTTCATCAAGGCGTAACCAGACACCAGCATTCACCACGCATTTTCCGTTTTTATTCGTCAGGGTAACATTTCATTTCAGAATGATATTTCCCAAAAATCGAAAGATTTGGAGTCTTGTCGTGAGGTCGTGAGTAAAGATAAAAAATGGTGAGAGTTGGCAGGTATGCTAACGTGATATTGTGAATTGCAAATGTCGAACCATGTTACCATTGAAATCGAATTCCAGCGGGTGTTTATTGGAGGGTTTGTGAATACATGTAATTCGATGGGTGCCTATGATGGAATAAGTGTTTAACTTTGGAATGATACGCCATCAGGATTTCTATAGTATCACTTCAAATGAAAGAAGGGCTACTCCATGTCTTCGAACTCTTGACCAGACCCATCAGGGTAGCTGATAGTTTCGCGAGAGACGAAAATAGCACCTAAAACGTTTCTCTACGAAATCCAAACAGATAAGTAGCTATTAGGGCAGCTTCAACTAAGCATGCTTCTAAACAGAAAAAAACAATTAATGCAATGCAGACTGTTTTGAAACATTCGGTCGTTGGGTGCCACTGAAGAAAGGACAAGAACTGAACATCCTGGCAAGTAGACATCAATTTGTTAAAACAGTGGAGATTCCTTCAATATTCAAATTCAGATTTTCTTTATTTTTTTGCTATATTTCAAGATGTTTCTACTACATTACATTATATTAAAAGAACAGAGAAAAAAGAACAGCAAATTACAAATTATGAAAGGTAAAATGTGCTGAGTGACCAAAGTGCTGAGCTACATGTAATGGAGAAAGAAAAAACGTCTTACTTACAAATTTATGTAAAAAACAATAAAAATAGTGATAGATCATCTGGATCATAGAAATAACTATTATTAGTAGGCACTGACGGGGAAATCAAATTACTAGAATCTCTGCTTTGAGTTCTCGTTTGATACTGGGTAAAAATTCTTCTTTTCATGTACACCCGAATCTCTCCCCCATTTTGCTTTTTAAAGCAAAATATCCCCAATCCCGATATTCAAATAAGGCAAATCCCGCATCTAGAAAAACCTATTAGGGTTCCTCTTAGCTGTCTGTCTCTCTCCCTCTCTTGCACGGTAGGAGAGAGCCCTGAGAACGAGGTCTTCTGTTTCTTTCTTGCATTTAATCTTCTACTTTTTGTTTCTGTTATTTGTTTTTTAACTGTTAGCACGGTAAAGGATCATTGATATCTCCCCAATAAAAAACCTGCTTTGTTCCTTCTTCAGACTGTGTGATTAGTGAATCCATTCTGCCATCATACAAACCAAACACCCCACCTAAAAAAGAAAAAAAATGACATCATTAGCAAGAGCCAATCGCCCGGGTGCGCATATCTGTCATATACATCGTAAGGCTTGGGTCACAGCGTGGTAGATTTTCAGGCTATTTTATAGATTAATTTGTCGCGCCAAATATTCTCAACCAATCAGAGCAGAGATGTGGCGAATGAGGTCGACGGAGTGTTTGGCGAGGAGAGTTTAACTGGTTGAAGAACCTTGGACGCTGTGAGAAACAATTCAAGGAAACTAAGTCTCGGAGGTCAACTGCCATGTTGGACTGCCCACGTTTGTGAACACTGCTAACATCGCGAGATAAGAAATCTAAAAACAGCACTTATTAGTATCCAATGGACTCTCCGGATTGGTGGGTCCCGTCATAGATCGCTTAGGTCAATGTACAGTGTAAGCAAGGATACAGTATGCATTTTTGTTTTCAGTACTCAATTAGTGACATTAGCATTAGGTATACCTCCCTACCTCCCGGGGTATACCTATCGACAGTATGACAACGAGAAAATTATTTGTATTTCGCGTGGAAATTTACAGGGGAGTGTGAATTATTGAATTTACAACATGCTTCTCAACAAAGGCAGAAAGCCTAAATTAAACCTCAAGTCAGACTGAGGAAGATAGTGATGAAATCTCGTACCTGTATGGATGTAAAGTACTCTTTTTCCTTTGAATCTGCCAGGATTATTCTTCATCTCTGATAACATTCCCCTAATTGCCTTTATATTGTACACTGGATCTACCAATATTCCAGTTGTTCTTGAAATCTCAATAATATTCTCTGCAATTTGATAACAAAATACAATGCACACCTTTTGTTGCGTCACACCAAACGACTCAGTCAATTGCTATTTTACTAGTGACTCAGTTCTGAGCATTTAATCCCTTCCCCTTCCCCTCAAAGTCTTTGAAGTTGGTAACATGACAGAATATATGACGTCAAAGGGTAATATTGCCAAAGGCTTAGCTGGAAGCAGTCGTATTGTAATTTGTGTGCCATGTGAATTGAAGGAGCCAGAAAGATTGCCCATGTTTTCGAATTAAACTCAGTGGCAAACCTATGAGAAGAGTCGGGGATAGTGGGGGATGCTTTGGGAGTTGCAGGTACGATCCAATGTGCATTGTTTTATAATGCTATACCAAGCAACTTTAACAGTGTGCACAAATGGATCCCTCTTTCAAACACTTGTTTTGTTTGACCACCAGACTACCCAGCTGCCTCATATCGATTGAACATTAAATTTCGTTTGTTTTCGAATTAAACTCAGTGGCAAACCTATGAGAAGAGTCGGGGATAGTGGGGGATGCTTTGGGAGTTGCAGGTACAGCCCAATGTGCATTATTTTATAATGTTATACCAAGCAACTTTAACAGTGTGCACAAATGGATCCCCCTTTCAAACACTTCTTCTGTTTGACCACCAGACTACCCACCTGCCTCATATCGATTGAACATTAAATTTCGTTGTACCTCGATGTCGCAGCTCTCTTGTTTCGGGGCTAAGGTCTATTCTTAACTTTGTTTATTCATTGTTTTCCCAACCAATCCCGTGAGCAGTTGAATGCACCTACTCACACTCCTTTTGCATCCGTCAATAATATCGCCTTCTGCTTGAAAAACAATTTAGCCAGTCCTAACAAGCGTGCACCTAGTTCATGTTGAGTTGACACACCATAATCTCCCCCTTTGTAGCCATCAATAATATCTAAAATATCTTCCGCTTTGACATCAATTCACCCAGTCCTACCCACCTAGTTCATGTTGAGTTGACACACCATATCCTCCCCCTTTGTATCCATCAACAATATCTATAATATCTTCTGCTTTGACATCAATTCCCCCTCTCCTAAGGTCTTCATTGATTTTATTGTAAAAGTAAGCTGCATTGTCAGACACATTGACTGCATGGCATCTACAAAGTTGAAAAGAGGCAAAATTTTTCTCAGCTTTAATTTTTTTTTACAAAGTCATATATGGGGAGGATTTGCCTGAAGGTCCAATCCCTTACCCATTTACATTATATACCATTTTTTACAGAAAAGGTCCCCCTTTCGTATACCTTCTATTGACAAATGGTACCCCTTTCACACACCTAGATTAGAACTTTGCAACCCTTGTAGCTGATGTAAATTCACTGTCTTTTCATATGAATAAACGACTAAGCCAGAACATTTTCTGAACTATTTCACAGCCATAAAAATAATGCATATGTCAGCTCTTTTGGTCCTTAGTTACAGCGAGACCAAAATCACCGATTTCCCTTCTTTTTCGTATACTTGAAATTCCTACCTTTTCTTATGCACTGTACCAGAACAGGGGTGTAGCCAGCTTTTTGACTTGTTGTGGGCCTGGCTGACTTTCATTTCCACATATCCTGAAACCTGCACGCATGACTAGTACGCACTTAGCTCACCAACACTTTAAGGTCGTAAGCATTTTAACTCACCCCAACAACAATTATTACACTAGGTGGGCCTACAGGTCTATGGGCTGGCTACGCCTCTACTGAAGCCTAAAAAATGGTGCCCCTTTTGAGGGGAGCCTCCCCCCCCCACGGGAAGTTCAGCCGATCAAAACTATCAATTGTAAACTCATGAATAATTCCTTAAGAAGCAGTAGATGTCTATAATTAGCCTTTGTTCAACATCCACAACTTTTTTTCAAATCTTACCGGCTGAGCCATAAAGATAGAAAATTTCACTTTTCCCAACAAAAGAACAGAAGAAAAGCAGAAAGAAAAGCAAACATAGGTTTTGAATTGCAATAAGGAAAGTTTACTTTGCTTTTCCTCCTGTATTTCTTTTTCACTGACTAGAAAGTGCCTTAACTACTGCCTTTCAAGGCCAGCGATTTTTTTTGTTTGTTTATTGTTGTTGTTGTTTATTGTTTACCAAGTAGTCCACTATTATCGCCTTAAAATTAAAACATTAATTTACTTTGCCTCAATTATTTTTCTATATATACTGTATTTTCATTTTGTACTTTTTTTAATTTACAGTATATTACTTTGCTTAGCCAGGAACACTACCTCTATTAGTGAAAACAGGTCAGAAACATGGAGTAATTTTGCCTTTGAAGGCTCTATATCAACCCTTAATTCAATTATACTCCCTTAAAAGAAAAGTGCACACTTGATATGTACTATCAAGTAGATGCCTATGGTACTGGCCTCAATAGCACCTTCTTAATAATTTGGATGTCTTTTAAATGAAGTTACAGTTGTAACTTTTACATTTAGCACTCACCAGAAACACCCATGTTTGCCAAATAGACTCGTGTACAGTAAATCCTTCTGCTCTGAGATGATAATTTTATTTTTTCACTTCCAAGCCTCATTTGCATTGCGATTAATCCTTGGAATTTTCTCTTAAATTCATCTCAAGTCATTACTAACTGAATGCCGTACAAAGCAACAAAGTTGACCACAGAGAACATTTGACAGGGTTGCCACAACCAGAGGTTTCTGAAATTCCCTGATTTTCCTTGACGTTTTCCTAAATGTAAAATTTCCTTGACCCATTGGATTAACTACTGCACAAACCAGTCCTGATAATGTACTCAATGCATTTCTCACAGCCTGATCCCCTACAGCCATTTTAATATCAATTTATGCTTTCAGCAAGACACATGTACACGTGTACATGAATAAATATTGATAGTTTCTTAACATTAAGTGAAAAAAGGATCGATTTTCTTGAAAACCCAACATCAGCTTGTTCTTCAATTTCATGAACAATATAACATGATTCATGTCCATAAAATGTACAAAATGTACTCTTAAACCTTCACTTTTCCCTGTCTGCTTTCAAAGAATTAAAATTTCTCTGACTTGAAGTGAAATTCCCTGACTTTCCCCTGACCTTGAAGAAATTTTTTCCCTGACCATTTCCTGCCCTGTGGCAACCATGTTTGACATTTAAGATGCTTCCGGGAAAAAATTATTGTCAAGGGAATTCTGATCAGTGCTACAATGAACAAGGGTCTTTTTTGCATGAGCATGCGCGACCGCTGACTTGTCAAAGAGCAGTAACAGCGACCGTGCTGCATAGTCATAGGAACCAAATTGTTCACTTTGAAAGCTTGCTTGAGATTAATATGGTAGCAGGAACTTAGGAAAGAGCTTCGTTGTACAAAATAAGTAAAGATCTGTTGATTTAAAGTGGAGACTGGTGCGCTGAACGAGGTGAAAGAGCAAGTTTCTCAAGGATGTCTGACACGAACATGGCTGCTTGTTGTTGTTTGGCGCTCGACTCGTGTCTTGATTCCCCTTTAAGAACCGCAAAGTTTGGTATAGAATGCATTGCTGATGCGTAGCCATTAAGCAAAATGTTCTTTATTTAGTGTTTGTCCATAAATCGGATGTAAATCAGTTTCTCGATGCCGTAGAGGATTTCTGTCAATAATTTGTTAATAGCTGATTTAGTCATATTTTGGTAGTGGATTAATAACGATCAGCGGGCGACTACCACGCCGTTTTCAGTTGGAATAGTAATTGCCTTAAGTATTTTACAGGAAAATTGTAGAAATTCTTGTTTTTGCGTGGACTAACATTGTAACGCATCTTTTACAGGAGTTTGCTTTTGTTTACTGTACTTCCTGGGAAACCTAACCGTTTGTTTCATCAATATCGGTCACAAGATTGGACTTTAATTTCGGTCCTATTGAATGCAGTTTTGACTGTGTCTCATTGATATTCATTTTTTTATTGTTCGAGACATACAGAGTGACTACCACCAACATCTCACCAGGTGACTAATCTACGTCTCGTGTGCTCTTAATTTTGTAGCTTTAAAGTGCTGGGAAAATTGTAGAACATATATTAATTCACTGCTGAGCTGAACATCGGCTTTCGCGCACTTCGAACTCACTCGCTGAAATTTGCTAGGTTTTTTTTTAATATTTCTCTTCCTTTCCCATCTCAAAACAAAGAAAATGAAAAGTGTTTACTTGCATCAACAAACGTTTCTGCACTTTGTTTAGACTTTGATGAGGTCAGCGCAAATCCTCCGGGCACTACATATACGCGCGCTGTTGTCCAGGTCAAGTGAGGAGATGAAATTTGATAGTAGCTCGTGTATGTTAAAGCTGGTCTACTTCGCTTTTGTTAGGACCATGTTAGAGTTTTTTTTGCAAACTACACATTTTGTTAAATCACAAGCACATTCACCAAGACCAAGGAGCAAAATAATCGCTATGATAGCTTTGAGACGCGCCATTTTGATGAAGGCAAACCCTGTGGTGAGCCTCCATTCACATCGCTTGTTCAGCGGTCGCGCATGCTCATGCAAAAAAGACCCCTGTTGCTACAATGTACATGTAGATTTTCTACTACTACATGAGAAATTTCTGCACTTTGATTGGTTCAGAGCAGTGGTATTTCAGTTTAATTTGAAATACCTTCATGTGAAAATTAAAAATTTAAACTTTTGCGGGTAGTAGTATAAACAAATAATAGAATGATTTGTATGCGATATTTGGCGTAAATACCAAAATTGTCTCAAATTTCACTCGCCTAACGGCTTGTGAAATTACGTATAACAATTTCAAAATATTACTTGTGGTATTTGTGGCTGTGACTGGCGGCACATGATAGCCGTGGCGATGAGCATAACAACAAAACGTTTAATCATACACCAGGCTGAATCAACTCACAAGTATCATCACAAACATCCGTTAGAAAGCTTTAAAAATCCGTAGCACGACAAAGAAAAACTGAAACAAACGACTTACAAAACACTTGGGAAACTTGAAGAAAACCTTAGTGAAAACTTCAGATTATTTCACGGTGGCCTCGTGCCCGCCAATGCCGAGGCCCCGTGCGCATGCTCCTCATAAACAAGGGGGTAAGCCCGCTGGTCAGGATACCAGCAGCTACATGGCTCCCCAAAATGTAAGCCTTGCCTTACATTTTAACAACAACTTTAACTATGTCCATAACAGTCCTAAAACTTATTTCCTAGAGAAAGCGTTCATAAAAAGCTCGGGCTCCTCGTCGGGGAATCCCGGTCTCTAAACATTACGCCTCCAAAAGTAAGACGAGCTTGTTAACAGGCCTTTCCAACTTGGAGCCATTGCCTTTCAGCACTGTCACCGATCGGACTCGATCTTGATCATCAGGATGCGTGGCTACGACCTTACCCAAAGGCCATCTGTTTCTCGGAGACTGGTTTTCCTTCAGTAATTCCACATCTCCAACCTTGAAATTTCTTTTTGGCCGAGTCCACTTGATTCTTGCTTGTAACTGTTGCAGGTACTCTTTGCTCCACCTTGACCACAACTCTTGTGCTAGGTGCTGCGTGCGTCTCCATTTCCTTCGACAGTAGAAGTCTTCTCTCTTAAATTCTCCTGGTGGAGGTAGTACGAGCCTTGTCTTTCCTTTCAGCAGCATACTTGGCGACAATGGTGGCTCTGAAAGAGGATCGCTGAGTGTCTCTACCGTCAAAGGCCTGTTATTGATTGTAGATTCTGCTTCGCAAAGGAATGTTCTCAGCGATTCTTCGTCAAGACGATTACCATGCTCTCTAATAAGACCACTCATGACGTTTCTGATTGACCTGATTTGCCTTTCCCACACGCCTCCAAAGTTACTCGCGGATGCAGGATTCTTAATCCAATCGATCTTGGCTTTAAGGAGTTCTGCTTTGACCTTTTGGTCGTCTATCTCGTCAACAGCTTTCTTGAGTTCCGCTTCCGTACCAATAAAATTCGTTCCTCTGTCACAACGAATTTCTCTGACTGGTCCTCTTCTACAGATGAACCGTCTCAATGCTTGAATAAAGGAATCAGTTTCTAAGGAGTCTGCAACTTCTATGTGTACAGCCCTACTTGCAAAACAAGTAAACAATGCTCCGTATCTCTTGACGACAGACCTTCCTCGTTGTACGTGCCAAGTGCCAAAGAAATCGACTCCGCAGTAGGTGAAAGGTGGTGCTGGCTCCACGCGCGGCAAGTCAGCCATCTTCTGCTCTCCCACGGTACCTCAAAGGTAACGACATGTTACGCATTTGGAAATAAACTGCCTGACTATCGAATTTCACGGACGATCCAAAAGCCACTAGCACGAAGTTCATTCAACGTAATTCCTCTTCCGCTATGGTGTGTTCTTTCGTGCGCGTAGCTGATAACCAGTGCAGTAATGTGGCTTGACTTTGGTAAGATGACAGGGTTTTTGAGTGACTCCGATAGTGTCGCCTTCCGTATTCGCCCGCCAACTCTCATGACACCATCACTGTCTCGGAAGGGGTCTAACGTGCGAAGCGTACTGGTTTTCTTCAGCACAGCCTTCTTCTCCTTTTCTACTTCCCGGCTACCGTACTTAGCGTTCGCTTGAACGATTTGGAGACTTCTTATTTCCGATGGAAATGCTTGTCTTTGTACTTGTTTTATGATCTCCCCTTCTGCTTCCTGTAAGTTGGCAACGTTAAGTTCTGCACCTGCAGGGGTGTTACTGATATACCTTTGTTCTGGTGATCCAGCACTGGACTCCTTCCCTTTAGACATGACCTTTTCTCTGAGCTTCCTCTTGTACTTTAGGCATAGTGCGACAGCTACCTTCGCTTTGTGCCAGCTTGAGAACCTGAGAAGTCTCTCAACTATGACGTCACTCTCTTTCAATACACATGTGTTAACCTTAGTGGTCTTCACTTCGGGGTAATCTGGGTTCACAGTGTCTTTGTATGACTTTTCGTTCAGCCAACTGCTTGTAGGTTTTCTAAGGAAGTCAGGGCCTTGAATCCATTGTGATTTCTCAACAAAGTCTTTAGGTGACATACCCCTTGAACCTTCGTCTGCAGTATTTGAAGTGGTTTCGACGTAATGCCACTGTGAGGGGGTGGTGTGATCATGAATGAGTTGAACCCGGTTGGCAACATAGACATGAAACCGACTGGATTCGTTACTTATAAAGTCTAGGACGACTTTACTGTCCGTCCAAAAGTGATCCTCAATGTTCTCATACTCTGGCTCATCCTTTAGAACATCACCAATCTTGACAGAGACTGAGGCTGCAGCTAACTCTAACCTTGGGATGCTGACGGTCTTTTTTGGCGTCACTCGCGCCTTTCCCATAACAAAAGAGACATGTACTTTGCCGTGTTCGTCTTCGAGCCTTAAATACGAGCATTGACGGTAACCACACGTCGAAGCGTCAGACATACAGTGGAGTTGCGCGGACACAATCTTTCCAAACTCCGAGGGCTTAAAGCTTCTTGGTACTTTGAAACTTTCAAGTAGGTACAGCTCATTTCGCCATCTTTCCCATCTGCTGCGGGTGGCATCGTCGACTGGCTCATCCCAGCTATTAGAGTGACAGATGTCCTGCAAAATTTTCTTTCCGACCAGTACTACAGGAGCGATGAAACCCAAGGTATCATAAATCAAGCTGATGGTCGATAAGATGCCTCTCCGCGTGCAAGGTTTATCCTTAAGTTCAATCCTGAAGTTGAACGTGTCTGACTCAATACACCAAATAACTCCTAACGCTCTTTCTATGGGTAACTTGTCCTGGCCAAGTGTGAGGTTCTTCACCTGTTCTGCTCTGTGTTCTTGAGGGATTGAGCTGATGATACGCTCTGTGTTTCCCACAAACTTGGTTAAGTTAAATCCACCATTTTGGCAAACTGCTTTGGTATCCTTTGCTAGCTTAATAGTCTCATCTTCTGTGCTTGCCGATTTGAGAACGTCGTCCACATAAAAGTTCCTTCTAAGGGTGTTGGCTGCTTCTGACCCGTATTCATCTTCGTTGTCGTCAGCAGTGCGTTTAAGTGCATAATTAGTGCATGCAGGGGATGATACTGAACCGAGCAAATGCACTGTCATGCAATACTCTTCGGCCTCCTTCTGTAAATCTCCGTTTGGCCACCATAGAAACCTGAGAAAACTTTGATCTTCCTTCCTTACTCTTACCTGAAAGAACTTTTTTTCAATGTCTGCCATAGAAGCATACTTTTCTTGCCGGAACCTGGTAAGAACACCGACTAAGTTACTGCTGAGATCTGGTCCCTGGAGCAATTTAAGTCATTCAAGGAGTGTCCTTCGAATGAGGCCGAGCAATCAAACACCACGCGTATTTTCGTTGGCTTTTGCGGGTGATAAATTCCGTGATGCGGCAGGTACCAGGTTCTGCCTGACTGATCTTTAAGATCGTCATCCACCTTCCGAGCGTACCCTTTCGAAATGATATCAGACATAAAACTGCAGTAATCCGTGTAATACTTGTCATCAGACATTAGACGTTTCTTGAGGCTGTTCAGGCGCTTCTCAGCTTGAGCGTAGTTGTTTGGGAGCTGAGTGTTCTTATGTTTGAAAGGGAGGGGCATTTCATAGTGCAAGTCCTCGAGATGAACGATACCAGTTTCCACACTCTCGTAGAACTTGATGTCTTCGCGCGACATTGATATTCCCTTTTCCTTTTCGAAGAAGTCAAGTTCAAAAATTCGTTCAACTGCCTGCGGGGTTATCTGTTCCTTAACCGTCCTTTGAGAGACTACATATCCTCGCGGGGATGAGGTGTCTTGCTGATTAAGATGAATTCTGTTGCACGTTAAGATGCTACTCTGACAGGGAGTATAGAGAGGACCGTTTATGTACCATCCGAGCAGCGACCGTACAGCATATGGATCTGATTCTCCACCGTAAACAATTTCTCTTGGTCGTAGGGCACTTGGACAGTTCAATCCGATAAGAAGACCCACTTCAACATCTTCCATGTAGGGGGAAAGTTCGACACTAACATCCTTCAAATGGAACATCCTAATGATTACATCAGGTCGTGGTATTTCACTGCGGTCCGCTGAAATGATGTTTCGCGTGAAAGTTCTGGGCAACTCTAACCTTGCACTCTCGTCCTTGACATTAGCTACGACTAATCCTTCAATGGCCTTCGACGTTACGCTGTGTGTTCCATGGATTGTAGTAAGAGTGAGGTCAGTGCTACTTCCTTTAACCCCAAGAGCCTTAGCTGCGCTCTCATTCACAAACGTTCCACTGCTGGCATTGTCCAGTAAAGCATAAACTCGTATTTTCTTCGCTGGATTACTCTTATGAAACAACCAGACTAGCAATATACCCATGTTAATCGGCACATCTCCAGCTTCAGTTATGTTGCAGATGGCAGTGTGATTGCTACTACGTCGAGGTCTATCTTGAGGTTGGTTCTTGTCACCTTTGTCGTTCGATTTCTTAATTCCATCAGGGTTGTGTAGTGACATTGGATGCTGCTTGTTGCACGTCTTGCACGTCTGCCTTTCCTTGCAATGCTTTGCAATGTGCTGGTCGCTAAAGCAGCCGAAGCACAGTTTCGTCTCTACTACAAAGTCTCGACGGTCACTGAGAGATTTCTTCAAAAACTGTTCACACTCGTTTAAGTTATGAGGCTTCTTGCATAAAGAGCATACAACAGTCTGTTAATTGCTATCTTCCTGATTTACACCAGTAGCAAGGTTTGTCCCTTTTCCCCTTTTTAGCGGCTTTCTTGGAAACTTAAGATGAGTGCCTCTGTCTTTTTCTTCATGGTTTGGCTTGCTAACATATTGCTCTGAAAACACAGGATCTGTGGCAAGATCAGCTTGTTCACGCACGAATTGAGAGAACTCTTCGAAGTCGGCTATTCTTCCCTTTGCACTTTTTGTCCTATTGTTCCTTTCAGTCCATTTGGTTCGCAGGTACTTAGGTAACTTTTCCCACAGTTGACGCAGTACATGAGCAGTGTTTAAATCATCCATATGAGACATGCCTTTCATAGCAGATTTAGCTTGATCCAGGGCAATAGAGAAATCTTGGAGGGCTAAACCATCGTTTGGTCTGATTGGTGGCCAAGAAGACAATTTCGTGATGTGGGCATTAGCTATCTTGAATGGATCACCGAATTGTCTCTTTAAAAGTCTCTTAGCTTCTTCATAGGATCCTTCCATTTTCCTTTGTAGACAACCGTTTATAATTTCCTTTGCTTTACCTGACGTGTATTGACCCAGAAAATATAATCTCTCATGGGAATCTTCAACCTTTGATTCGATTAATGACTCAAAGGCAGTCATGAATAATGGATACTCCATAGCATCACCATAAAACATAGGAGGCTCTTTCAAGGGCAAAAGACTCCTTGCTTGCTGGTTGACAATAGTCTGAGACAACTCAGTTTGTTTTCGTTGAATTTCCACAATGTCTTGGAAAGTATTGTCTTTGACTGACAAACTTGTTGAACAACCTTGTGGGGGTGATGGTGGCAGACATCATACCTGATCAGGAGCAGTATACGTAACAGCAGGAGTCGTTGCTAAAGATGGGTATGATGAAGAATGTACACTCGAGGGGTGTTCATGGGGTTTTGCTGCGTAGGCCGTAGTCTCTTCCTTACTCTGTGATGCACCAGTATTTATCGGTGTTGTGTAAATGGGTCCCTTCTGAGGTACCGTAAATGCACTAAGAGGACTAGCTTGTAAAGGCTGTTGATAATCTGTAACGCCTAAAGAACTTACAAGTTGTTGCTGCGAAGTAGGTTCCAAACCAGCAGAGTTACCTGATTGTATTGTACAAATCGGAGGACGTTTTGTATGAACAGGTGCCAAGGTTGACTCTTCATTCTTCATTTCTTCATAAATCCTTTCTTCTTCCCTTGCTTGAGCTAAACTCTGTTTCAGCTCTAAATGTTCAGCTGCCATTTTAAGCGCTTGCTTTTCCTTCAGAAATGATGCTTCAATTTCCAATGCTGCAACCTTAGTTTTTGCTTCTATCAACTTAGCTTTAGATGAAATTGAAGATGAGGTGGACCGTTTAGAGTGATTTGACTTTCTTGTGCGATGAGACCCACTAGAGATAACAGAGTTTACTTCATTAGACTGATGCCTTTTCGCCTGGGACAAATATTCAATGACAGACTGTTTAAATTTAAAGACATCTCCATCGTGAGCATCGTACCATGAATTGGCATTAACAATAACAGTTTCATCTTCTAACGCGTCAACACAATTATTCTGAGCATCTTGCAGTTTAACAAGCAAATTGTTAAGACCTTCCATTTCAACTGACACAAATTCATAATTCATAAGATCAGCAAGTAGCGGTTTCATTTTGTTTATCTGTCTAGTTACGTGACGTAACGCCACAGTTCTATGATCCTTTAACCTTTGTAACTCGTGTTGTTTGCCTTTATCCGTTGGAATTTTTCTCCTTTTGCCCACTCCTAGCGCTTCAGCATCACTTACCGTCGATTTTGCTTCCATGTTCAGCGAACCTTGAACCTTTACTGAATTAGGAAGTCCCGTTTCTGATGCTGCATCCTTTGGCTGAGTGTGAAGCGGCGATATAACACGAAACAGTTCCGCATCCATTGTTGGAGAGTGCGAACGCGAAACTTGCAATCTCAGCAAATTGTCATTCTCAAAATAAGCCGCAAATTCCTTGCCTTCACCTTCCATGACCGTAAATATCCCCAGAACCGTAAAACCAGATAAAAACTATAGATAAATAGAAGCACCACCGTAACTATCCTTTTAAATCCATAAAGTCCATGAGGTCGTGAAATAACTGTGGCTGTGACTGGCGGCACATGATAGCCGTGGCGATGAACATAACAACAAAACGTTTAATTATACACGAGGCTGAATCAACTCACAAGTATCATCACAAACACCCGTTAGAAAGCTTTAGAAATCCGTAGCACGACAAAGAAAAACTGAAACAAACGACTTACAAAACACTTGGGAAACTTGAAGAAAACCTTAGTGAAAACTTCAGATTATTTCACGGTGGCCTCGTGCCCGCCAATGCCGAGGCCCCGTGCGCATGCTCCTCATAAACAAGGGGGTAAGCCCGCTGGTCGGGATACCAGCAGTTACAGTATTTATGCCAAATATCACTACAAATCATGCTATTACCTATACAAATTACCTTTGTTTTGTTTGCTTGAAAAATATAAAGGGAGAAATTGAAAATAATATTGAGATAAAAAGTCACTTACTGGACCTTAGAAATCACTTTTTGAATAGATACATGTCATGTGTTATGGGCAAAAATAAATTCAGTTTTTTTAACTTACTTTGCTCAATTTCCTTTGCCTCCTATTAAGCCCAGTTCATGAATAATTACATGTAGGGTAAGGAGACAAAGGAAATAATTCTACCCAGGTTAAAAAAAAATTATTAACCTGAATTTTTTTTGGACATACAAAATGCATGTTACATAACCCATTCCATACAAATAACTTGTACCTGTTGTATCATCTCTTGAAACGCAGTCAAGTAACCAAACATCCCTGTGTAAGACGAACCACCTATCTCTATCAAATATGCTGAGGATCCCTGTTGCTTCCTGATAAAATAAATGAGACTAACAATTAATACAGCACTGAAACTACTATACGGTTTGGCCTTTAAGGACATTTTGAGTTGGCCAGCAATATTCTAAAATCAGTTACATGTAATTATAGACAGGTATTATTATTCAATGAGTATGAAAAAATATTCACTGGCTTCAGTGTACTTAATAATAGAAGCAAAAAGAAAAATTAGAAATCAAATTTCTTTTGATGAGGAGGGACAAAGAACCTTAAGTTTACAATTTGTAGGTGGCCAATACAAGTGTAGGGTTTCCTGATATTTTGCCAGAAGTCCCATCATACAATGTATACCACTAAGAATGTTCCAGCTATAAAAAAGGTTTCTGTAGTCTCTTTTTAAGTCATAATAGCCACTTACAATTTTTCTGCCATTTTCTCCATCATTTGTTTAAGGCCTGATTTACATTGAAGTTTTGGAACAACAATAATATGGCTTCCAACCATTTTGTTTAGAAAAAGATTTCCTTTACATCCAATATCTGTAGACTGCATCAACATGAACAGGAATCAACAAAATGCTCTACAGTGTGCTTCCAAGAGGGTGCTTAGTTCAAACGTTAACAGAAATTGAAATTCAATCAACTCTCTTTAAGATAGACATGGTGGGAATCAGGACCAACTTTCGGGACTTGTACATGTAGAAAGGTGTCTGTCACATTGAGGGAAGCTAGTTGCAGAAAATTGCTAAAACCAGCAACGGAATTAGCCAACAACAGTAGGTGTTTTTTTTTACAGAGGTTTCTAAAAGTGTGCTCCAGCTAGTTGACTGTGTTAGAATATTTGTGCCTGGTGACACACATAACAAAAAATAAATTCAAACGACACAAGGCAACATATTGATTAGTGCAGTACACTGTTATTGTGTATACCAGTAGTTCTGAGGTAGCTACTGTGTAGAGGAATAAGAACTTATAAACCTTTTAATAAATTTAATGTAGGATTCAAAATGGCAGCACAAGGGTGGTGGAATAGCGCAAGAGTTAGAGCATGCATGCACATCCAAACAATTATTAATGTACCCCAGGTTTGAATATTGTGGAAGTGAAACCAAACATTGCATTGAGTTTGTTGTTGGTTCTCTGCCCTTGCTCCAGGGATGTTTTTCTGGTTCCCATAGCAATATATATCACTGTGAGCTAATGTGGATAGGCTCAGCAAGGGCATCAAGTTACGGCGACTGACTGATGTAAAAAGGTGTTGTTTTTGTACATGCATATTATTTTTGCAAGAAAATAATTATACAATGTAGCTGACCTGTTCAGAGCTTCTAAGAAACAAATAACAGTCCAAACCAAGCTGTCTTGCTGCTACTGCAGTGGCTCTACAGTGATTTGACTGCACTCCACCACATGTAAAAATAGTGTCGCACTTCTTATTCAGTGCATCAGCTAAAAGAAACTCCAACTTTTGTACCTATAACACGATACACAATAAAACAATTGATAAAACTAGGGAGTAAGTGTTATAGGTCAAAATAAAATTAGTCACTGACAGGTTAAAATGGTTAAATCATTAACTTAGGTTGATTCTAAATTTCCACGTACTGTAACGTACTGCAGAGCTCTATTCATGATCATGGATAATTAAGGCTAGGAGAAAAGAAAAATCAAAATTGATAATCAACTTACATGTATTTATAAAAATACTGGATTGACAATTAGGAATGAAATGAAATGGTAGGAGTAGTGTACACAAACTCTACCTCAGAGTGTCATATCTAACGAACACCATGCGTCTCTAGGGTTATCGAGCTTAATGACAACAAGGGGAATTTGCTAACAAAAAAACCTCCAAAATAATTTTATTTTCTCTCCTTATTTTTTCTCAGAAAATTTTAAAATATTGCATATATTATTATATATATATATATATATATATATATATATATATATATATATATATATTTGGCAATTATTGAATTCGGCTTTCGTAATATATGAAGAATTCTGCATATCAAGGAGGGTGTTATGCACCGAGGCCAGAGGCCAAAAGCCGAGGTGACTAACACCCAACGAGACGAAATCTGTAGAATTCTTCATATCCTATGAAAGCCAAATTCAATAATTGCTTCATTATTCAATCAAGTTTAAAAACAAGCTAAAACATACTTACCTAGGTCACAAAATTCTTCCAAATTTGGGTAAACAGTAGCTGGTTATGATGAATTATGGATGTGATCTTAGCCCAATCAGAAGCAGAGAAATATTTTGAATGAATAATAAATATATTTATAGCATGACCTAAAAGATTTCACACGCCCTTTGTTAGAATAAAGGTGGCTCCGTCATTAATACAGGCGCAATATTTAGCTGTGACGAAGTTTTCGTCATAACTTTTTTGTTTTTAACGCGATGGCTGAGAAACTTTGCAAAAAACAACAGATATCATTCGACAATAGTACGAAATATTCCGATTTCGTTGATGGTAAACATATTTTGCTAAATTAGCGCTTAAAAGGACCCTACTGTTCAAAGAAAATAGCATCTAGTATTAAAAATTTGCTGATGTTTTTTACTGAAATTTCTGGTATCGGCTTCAATTGATATAATAATATGCCAGAGGAATTTCAGAAAAATCGTTGGGGCAGAAGTCCGTAACTAAAAGTCGCTCCAAATTTAGCTGTGAAATTGTTTGGGAATTTCAAGAATAAATTACTATCAGGTAGAAGGGCCCGTACGAAACTTGCAGCGCTGTACAGCGCCAAAAAAATCGCTTCAAAATAGCTGTACAGCTAAATTACAGCTGTTCAGCAGCATTTTTGAAGCCAAACAGCAGCTTCGTTTAGTTGAAGCGGGATGCAAAAGCGCTGTGCAGCCTTTGAAGGCTCTTTGAAGCTCTCGGCAGCGGTTTTGCAGCCCAGTTGCCGACTTTCAAACGCTGCAAAGCAGCTGCAATGACGCTACAATTCAGGTACGGTCGATCTGGTGAATCCGTCAGTGTAAAACGCAGACTGCGAACTGCAGACTGCAGACTTCGGACCAGGGGTAAAATGCAGACTGAGTGTAAAATGAAGACTGTAGACTGACAGTAAAACGCAGGCTGGGTGCAAAATGCAGAATAAAGACTGTACATGTAGACTTTTTTAAACATCTGTGCTCCTTCTTCTCCAAATCGGTGAAATATTTTATCGCCATAATTCTTCCTGTACAGTATTTTGGGTCAGCAGCTTTCATTTAAGCGTAACCATCGTGGTTCTATCGTGGTGCCAGTTCACGTTCCCTGGTCACGTATATCGAAAACTTCGCATCTAAAGTTGAAGCGTGAGGTCTCTCGGGCGGAAAAAAGGTTCAAGATTGCGATTATGTTTTCGGGTCATCGGCGACGTTCCAGAGAAGAAAGGAATGGATTTGTGAAAGCAGATGTCGTCAAGTAAGTGTTCGTTTACATGTATTTGCGGGATTTTTTTGCCCTTAACCCTTCTACGACTACAGTTTATGTTCTGTCTGCATTTTACCCCACCCTGCCTTTTACTCTCAGTCTGCAGTCTGCATTTTACACACAGTCTGCATTTTACCCCTGGTCCGCAGTCTGCAGTCCGCAGTCCGCAGTCTTCGTTTTACACTGACCGGAAGAGTTACATTGATGACGTTTTCTCCCTTTGGGAAAGTAACAGAAAAGATGTGGAACTTTTTATTAAAGAGGCTAACAATTCAGTCCATCCTACAATTAAGTTCACGGCCGAAATATCAGAGAACGAAATAACTTTCCTTGATACAATAGTTTTCAAAGGAGAGCGATTCACAGAGAAATCCATATCAAAACCTACTATAAGCCGACTGAAACCTTTCAATGTACCCACTTCACCTCGTGCCACCCTCCAGGGGTAAAAAGAGCCTTTATTATAGGCGAGGCAATAAGATTACTTAGCATAAACTCTTCAAAAACGACATTTGAAGAAAGCCTTGGGAACTTTAAACAACGCCTCGAAGCACGCGGGTATCTTAAACAAGAAATAGAAAGGTCGTTGTCAGAGGTCAGCTTTGACCAAAGACAATCGGCGCTCAAAACAAAAGCAAAAAAGGAAAGAAAGACTATTCCCTTTCGTTACAACTTATCACGCAGCGGTACAAGATCCTAAAAAGACATTGATGGCAAATTGGTGTCTTATAGAAAATCATCCTCTCCTGAAAACAATTTTTAAAAGACCTCCGATCATATCCTACAAAAGAGATAACTCTCTGAAAGAGATGCTTGAAAGGACAAAAATGTAACTCGAAGGCATTTGATAATGCGACGCAACCACAAAAACCACGGTGGGAGTCCTTGCAGGTCTGTCTTCGACTTCCTTTCTATACTGACACGAAAGCGAGCATGCGAGCAACTGCAAAAATTTGGGGAGCACGAGCAAGCGAGCACTCGTTTAAATTTTGCGAGCAGTTAAAAACTGTGGCTATATGGACGGTAACCGGTCAAGGTTTTCAAACTACTAAATGGCCGGCAGTTCTATATTCTCAGTAAATTTCACAAAATCGAAAGATTCCAGCTAATCTAAACTATCATATGTCGATTTAGAAAAGTCAAGCCATCCTGAAATGCTTTACAGATCTCAAGTCTAGTGTTTGGTTTGCGCTGGGCTCAGGAGGAAATCATGTTTTGTGATCAGGATCGCTTGACTTTTCTAAATCGACGTATGATAGTTTACATTAGCTGGAATCTTTCGATTTTGTGAAATTTACTAAGAATATAGAACTGCCGGCCATTTAGTGTTTTGAAAACCTTGACCGGCAGTCGAGCTGAAAAAATTTCTTAGTGTCGCAAAACATGATTTCCTCCTCTGAGCCAGCGCAAACCAAACACTAGACTTGAGATCTGTAAAGCATTTCAGGATCGCTTGACTTTTCTAAATCGACATATGATAGTTTAGATTAGCGGGAATCTTTCGATTTTGTGAAATTTACTGAGAATATAGAACTGCCGGCCATTTAGTATTTTGAAAACCTTGACCGGCAGGGGCACCCAACGACAATTTTCGGAAGAATATCTGTTCGGAAGACGATTTGAGATCTGGAATTTTCGAAACATTTGTTGTAAAATTTCTTGCTTACCTGCCTCATCCAAAAAATGGTATATTTGCCTATTTTTAACAGATTCTTACCCTAAAAAGGTCACCTAGAATTTTCGGAAGCCTTTTTTCTGGCTGAAATTTTCGAAAAGGTAAGTTTTGATCCCTATAATTTTCGGATCACTAGACTTTCAGCTAGGAAATGCGAACAGAAGAAAAATTTTTAGGGGATAAAAATATGCCAATATCTACCGTTTAAATACTAAAATACGTTTAACAATGCTATGTTTAAGTGGTTTTGAACTATATTCTCGTTGGGTGCCCCTGGACCGGTTACCGGTCATATAGCCACAGCGCAGTTAAAAATCTTAATGGACCATTCATCACCCCTATTATTGCCAGTGTACGCACAGGACTAAATCAGCTGCATTAATACACTTGAGAACTCGTTTTATATATCCTATGAAAAAGTTCGCGATATATTTCTTCAAGATTTTTACTAGAAAGCGGGGAAAATTACGGAGGAAAATATTAAGGCAACAGAAAAATAGAAATTTCAGTATTTTAAATTCGAGCGCGCCTAGCCAAAAACTACTAGAACATCGTGTCGCCGTCTTTTCGAAAACTTTTTACCTTTTACCCCAACAGAAATAACCTTCGAGGTCTCCTTTAATTTTGCAAGAAGTTAAATGTGATTGTGCTGACTGTTTTATTTTTAGCTGAAAAAATTAACGGATAAAAGCTATTTTTTTAAGTCAGCCAGTCTGCATTTTCCCTTGCCTAGTCCCTAGCCCTCATTATTATGCGCGGTCGATGCGTTTCGGTTCACGTGGTCCGAGAAAGTTTTTGAAGCCTAGACAAACTCGGAGAAGTGAGACATTTTGTCTCACTTGGGGCGGAGCTTTCGGAAGCGGGCGAGCTGTCAATAACTTTTCCGCGCTGATGAAAAATGTCTAGCAGCCATGGAGAGTACAGAACCGAGCATTTTTATTCTATGGACGTTTTCATTGTTGAACGTCCTTCGGCCTTTCTTTTTCATTTATCTCATTAAACTAATTTGAACTTTATTTCATCTCAAAACCAGGCTAAGCAAAACAGCGTCGCAAAAAAATTATTTGATCAAGAATCGAAAGGTAAGGTAGAGAAATAAGTTTATATTTATTCTTGGATATGAAAAGCTATCAAGGTCCAGTCTAGTAATAAGCAGGTTCCAGATTCTAGTGGTTCTAATGAAAAAAGATTTCTGAAAGGTAGAAGTCCTCCATTTTTTAGGCACAAAAGATTGAGAGCTCGTTACGGATATATGGGTCCTTTGCGCGCATTCGCGCACGAAGGGAACAACAGACGGATCTAAGTGAATCATGTTATGCGTAGCCTTGTAAAAGTATACTAGATCTAGTAACTCGTGCCAGTAGTACACAGGAAGTAGGTTTACAGACATTAGTCTTTCTTTGTAACAGATATTTGTTAAAAAAGGCAAGCAAAGAATGAATTTGGTGGCACGTCTTTGGATACTTTCGAGTTTAGAAATTAGTTCAATGCCTTGGGGCGCCCGGACCTGGGTTGCGTAGCCAAGATGCGCACGAACTAGCCCGAGGTATAATGTGTGCCTTACGGAAGTACTCTGAATAAACCTAGAGTTTCTCCTAACGAAACCTATAACAACTTGTTTGCGCGTGCAGCTTGGTGAGAGACTTGGGCGTGCCAAGTCACAGGCGTGTCAAGTCACAGTCCAAGGAGACGCCAAGGTCACGCTCTACCTCACAGGAAATGATGGTAGTGCCGTTAACCTCGTAGCTCGTACAGATGGGCTTGCGCTTCCTCGTAATGGTCTGAAGTTTGCATTTCTTATCATTGAAGGCTAGGCCAGAGGCAGCGGACCATGAAGACAGATTATCCAGATTATTATTGTTGGAGAGCGGTGCCATCATCCTCAGACATCACTACCTTGTATACTTTCAAAAATGCAAAAATTCTCAAGCATGCGCACTCCGAGATTGTCTAGGCGTCTCCCGGCCGTTCGTCTCGGATACGTCACCGAAATGCATTGACCGAGAGGGCCTGGAAAGACGCCGTATAGGAACTAAGCAACATTTTCCCCACGCATGAAAAATTTGCATACTAGAAAAACAAGCAACGGAAGTAATTTTGGTTGGCTGCTTCGGCAAATGTCAATCAATCAAAAAAGTGGGCGGCAGACGTTTCGTAGGTTTGTATCAGGTTCTGTTTTCGTTTCGCCTTGCCCGCCGGAATGGTATTACAAATTGAGCCTGATCTCAGGTTAAGTTGTTGTGTCAGGATTTCAAGCTATAGGGTGAGTATTTTTATCGTTGAGTATCTTGTAGCACATCAGTTTTCCGATTTCTTTTAATCAAAAAGCTATTCAGCAGTACTGGAATTGTTTGGTATTCAAGAACGTGATTTGTCACACACAAATCAGCAACGTGGATCGACAGACTCTATTCAAACCACATCAGGAATAGCTCAAATATTTCAAAATCCAGTCAAAAACAAAAAAGGTGCTAACGTGAAATAACCTGGTTTTGTTCTATATTTAGGTATTCAGGCCTTTCGTAAAGAAGAGAAAAGGAGAAAGATCTCAGAGGAGATCTCAAAGGTGAGAAACTTGAAACAGTGGTCCATGTTTTTGTAGGGTTAGTTTATTGCGAGGAACTTGAAACAGTGGTCCATGTGTTTGTAGGGTTAGTTTATTGCGAAATCCCGATTATTTTATTTGGTACAAGGATCTGAAAAAGTGAACTGGGAAATATCTCAAAGGTGAGAAACTTGAAACAGTGGTCCATGTTTCAAAGGTTCATGGCAAATACATGGACAACCAAATGGAGTCTTAATTCGGTTTTTAAAAGGTCGGGGACAGATTTAGTGACAACTATGACTAATTTCTTAAATAGGCACGTATCGGATACGGTTACCGTGTGCATTGTAAATTGTATTCTGAACAGATTCACTAATGTCACCTTGTAACAAATATAAGTTTTCCAAAGTGGTGTTTGTTTCAAGAGCTTTAGCAAGGGCCTCAGCACCAGCAGGACCAAGGTTATTGAACCACAAATTCAAATTTGTCAGAACTGTGTTTTTTTCAAGCGCTTTAGCAAGGGACTCAGCACCAGCAGGACCAAGGTTATTACGTCTCAAATTCAAATTTGTCAGACTTGTGTTTGTTTTAAGCGCTGTAGCAAGTGATTCAGCACCAGCAGGACCGACGTTGTTGCCAGACAAATCCAAATTTGTCAGACTTGTGTTCGTTTTAAGCGCTGTAGCAAGTGACTCGGCACCCGCAGGACCAAGGTTATTGCCAGAAAAATTCAAATTTGTCAGACTTGTGTTTGTTTTAAGCGCTGTAGCAAGTGACTCAGCACCAGCAGGACCAAGGTTGTTGCCAGACAAATCCAAATTTGTCAGAATTGTATTCGTTTTAAGCGCTGTAGCAAGTGACTCAGCACCGGCAGGACCAAGGTTATTGACAGAAAAATTCAAATTTGTCAGACTAGTGTTTGTTTTAAGCGCTGTAGCAAGTGACTCAGCGTCGGCAGGACCAAGGTCATTGAACGACAAATTCAAATTTGTCAGAATTGTGTTTTTCTCAAGCGCTTTAGCAAGGCACTCAGCACCGGCAGGACCAAGGTTATTACGCCTCAAATTCAAATTTGTCAGACTTGTGTTTGTTTTAAGCGCTGTAGCAAGTGACTCAGCGCCAGCAAGACCAAGGTCATTATCATCCAAAACCAAATTGGTCAGAGTTGTGCTTGTTTTTAGCGCTGCAGTAAGTGACTCAGCACCGGCAGGACCAAGGTAATTGTGAGCCAAATTTAAATTTGTCAGAGTTGTGTTAGTTTTAAGCGCCGTATGAAGTGACTCAGCACCAGCAGGACCGAACATATTATCATCCAAAACCAAATTTGTCAGAGTTGTGTTTGTTTCAAGTACATTAGCAAGCACAGCGGCAGCAGCATCACCTATACCTTTCCCGTCAAGATCAGCCTCTTGAATTTCCAGACATGCGCCAAAGGTGCGTGCCAATTCTATGTGAAAATAACTGTTTTCAATTTTGCATTCTTTTATGCACTCCAGTGCAAGAGGTAAACATTCTCTCACCTCTTCTTGGTTTACCTCATTCGCTATGCAGAGGATAAGGGATACTGCACTTTCTTGAGATCTCACTGCCAGCAGACCACAGGTAAATTTTAATACCTCTCTCAGCTCTCGGAAATATCTTGGGTCATTGACTAATATAAAGGGATTGATTTCTTCGCTCAAAAGCTGGCAAAAAAGGTAATGCCCTGCGAAGAATTCTTGAAAACTCTTATGCGTAAAGCCGTAGCAAAGACACGGCCTTCGTTTGCTGCTTCCAGGTTGAGCTGACAGAAAGCCAAATTCAGCTAAGTCGGGATTTTCACTTGAAAGCTTTTTGTCCTCAAAGTACATGTTGTCTTCATACAGGCCGTTTAAAGCTATCAAGCCAAGGAGTTTCAATTGATCTTTGTAGACTTCAATCAGATCCTCATTTCCGACTGGCAGACCTTTCTTTTTCCTGTATCTAATAAGAACACAGTGTGCTATTTCTAAGTACAACTGAGTTCTGCTTTCTGGTAAAATACCTTGAAAGTCTTCACAAAGAAGGCAAAGCAGTGCAGTGTTTAAAGGGTTTGCCGCCATCTCTCTGAGCCTTTCCTCATTATGTATTTTGTCCATGAGCTTTTCGGCCAAATCTTCTTTGCCGATAAAATATTTGTGAATAAATTCTTTGATATGTTGATAAGTGAAACCTTCAATCTCTAGAAGAGTGTCACAAACTTTTCTCACAGCTATCCCAGCCTCGTGTCGCGCTGTAACCACAAGGTTACATAGAGGAAGCATTTTACCTCTTATGATGTCGGTAAACTCCGGCAGTTTGCTCGAAGGTAACTCGTCCAATCCGTCAAGTATCAGTAGAACCTTTGATTGATTTTGCCGAATGAACTCGAAGAATTTTTCTCTTTCCTTTCGGTGAATTTCACCTGGCAAAAGCTGATCGTCAATGGCTCCCCAAAGGTCGGACCCGATCTCGACATCAAGGCATTTCAGCAAGAGCACCATCTCAAATTCCGGAAAGCAATCTCCTTCGTTTTTTACGTTTATAGCCCAGTCGTAAGCAACCTTATTGCAGTAGGTTGTCTTTCCCATACCTGGCTTTCCTTCAATTAATACTTTTCTAGGTCGGTCGCATTCTTCGTGGGATTTGAAGATTTCAGTCGCTTCAACAACTTTTTGCTTCGCTGTTGCTCTCGCTTTTTTCTCTCTGCTAACTATACGAAGCCGGGTATAAATATCGCTTAGTTGAAAGTTAAAGTCTTCGCACCAAGGAAAGGGCGCAAGCCATCCCTCATGACGTTTGTACTTCTGACGAATGACTTCAATATGCTCGGCAACCAAACCAACTGTTGAGAAGAAATGAGAACCAAGCTTTGTTGTAGATATTTGTCTAAAACATTTTGGTTTGCTACTTTCCACGTCCGTAAAACAAATGAATAGAACTTACCAACTAACCATACTTGGAAAAGGCGATTTGTTAAACAAAACTTAGGTTTTATTGATTATCTGCCCTAGCCAATGTGTACAGCCTTGAAAGCAAGCGTAAAACATTCCAAATTAGTGGAGAGGGGTGGCGGCTTCAATAAGGAAACGGAAGATGGCAAAGGTTCTCTTTTTGATTTAACGGCAGCCTTTTAGCAGACCACTAAAATTTGCGAGAAGCAAGGGAAATGAACTACTGCTTATGAACTTTAGGTTAGGGTGTTTGAGGACCCACATATAGTTCGAAAAACCTCCATCTATTTTTTCAACTCCGGCGGGTACCTAGGGTGGTCCATAAGGGACATTGATTAAAAAATAAACATTTGCCAAAATTTTTTTGAAATGTTAGGCGACACCTCGGTACGCTAGAAACCAATATGTCCACCATTCTAGTAGGTAACCTGCGTAGGAGGCATCGAAAAGGGTAGGTGATAGGGAGGAAGAGAAAAAGGGAGGGACGCGCTTTTCTCCCTCTCCCCCGCTTGCGCCTAGCACGCAGGCTGCCGGTATAGGCGGCTCCAACGCTAACATCTTACGGGAAAATAGCAGACTATAAATAGTCTCGGGCGTTTGTTTCTAGTTCAAGATAGGTCATTCGTCATCCCTCTCGCTGAGAGAATTACAATTTTAATTGACGACAAATGGATAAGTTGAAGCACTTTGGGTCCTTCTTGGATACGAAGCTCTTGTTTAGGGATCCAAGAGCACGACAGAGACACTTGGAAGACAAACGATCACTGATTGATCGGCAATACCTGCTTCTAACAGTTCTTTAAGACGGATACTTTAAATTTTCAGGGGGCTACAGTGTGGAGAATCTTACCTTCCTCTTTGGTCGCAGAAACCAAAGTCTTCAGCGTCTCACTAAAGTCGCTTTTCATCTGCTTCAAGTCTTTTCTTGTTCTATCTGTCAGGGAGAATATACTTAGCAGAATTAAACTTTCATCGCATGCCTTTCATTGAGAAAAATTTGGAAAACCAGGAAAAAGAAATCCGAAATTCAGAACAGGAATGAGAATATATAGCAACAGGTCAGGTACCGGAAACGGAATAGGAAAGGGAATAGAGGTACGGTTGGGGACAAAGTGGATGTCTGGAAAAGAAAGAATTACACATCCGGAATTCAGAACAGCAACGGGAATAGCAACAGGAATCGGAACCGGAATAGGAAAGGGAATAGAGGTAGGGTTTAAAGGTAGGAAGAAAAAAGACGCAGTAAACGATTATATTCTGCTACGAAATAAGACATAAAGTATGTTATAAGATTAATAAGGCTCTAAACTGGTGTTAATGAGCCCTAACGCAGTACAGTTCTTTCCTCACTTGTCCCCAGTGTCCTCTACTCTCCCTGCCCTTGCAATCAAGGCTTGTGCAATAGTCAATAACTGTTCTTTAGCTCAAAGTTACTTTTATTTTTACAATATTAAAGTTTTTGCCAAAGTTCCCGGTAATTTTCCACAGCATCACAGATTCTCACCTGTCTTTCCCTATGTAAACCCCCTCATATAACTTGTTAGCCACATTTTAGCTTTACTCTTCAAACAAGAACCAAGACTTCCACTTGCATATTGTATTTTTCCCGCCCTCCCACCCAACTGGAAGCTTTGTCTTCATTAATTGCGATGCCTGTGGTTTGTCCTGCCTGTTTTTGACTCTGAGGATGACTACCGCATTGACAGGTTGTCGAAACGTCAGTCACTGTCAACATCAGTCCTATTCAGGACTACGTTCACCCCGACGATCGTACTCACCCTACTTACGTTCTACTTTGTTACCTACTTATTGGTGGCAGGGCAGTGCACCCTGGGCTGCACTTTACCCCACAGTATGTAGGATAGCCCTCCTTGGCAATAGGTCTGGATTGCTTACTCCGCGATGGTACAACTCACCATCTGACCTATTCTTCTTCCACAAGGGCACCCCTCTTCTGGTCCACCCTATGTTACACTCTAATGTAGGGTTACCTCTAAAGACACCGTCACTCCAGGGGGTCCTCCTAGGGACACTGCTACCTTAGGGGGCATAGGAGGTGCGTTCCCTGACACGCAAATTTTGCCAAGTATTAGTAATTAGTAATTTGTATTAATTAGTAATTAATACAATATAATATAAATAGAAGTAAAAAAGTAGAATCCCTGTTTTTCCTTCCTTAGTTTCACAAGAGGCTTACAGGGGTAGAAGAGGAGTAATCATTAACAATTATTCCTCGAGCCCGAATGGGCTCTGAGTCAATAGCCCATGAGGCCGACAAATAACCGATGAATAATTAACAGTTAATGAATGAGGCTGAGTATCTTATGAAGAATTATGGAGATCGAGGAGGGTGTTATCCGTCGAGGCCGTAGGACGAGGCGGATAACACCCTCCGAGATCTCCATAATTCTTCATATGATACAAAAGCCGAATTCAATAACTGTTTTATTATTCATTCAAAATAATTCCTAGTTTAAAAACATAGCTAAAACATGCTTACCTCCATCGATCCATCGATGCTCAGTTCATCTTCGATAGTTTACGTTTAAGTTTGTCCAGCTCCACAAATATTCTTCAAATAGCAGATGTCGCCCTTCGAGTTGTCTTCTTGCTGTTCTTGCCATGTTTTTAGCTTTTTTTTCGCCTAGTTCTTAATCTTAAAACGAGTGAAATGTCCGCCATTTTTTCAAGGTCACAACCCAGACAACTCAACCTCGTCCCCAGGTCTTCTCGGTTAACGGTGCCTTAACCTGCGAAAACGCTACATTTTTGACGTCATTTCCTCGTTAAAGTCAAAATTCTTCCAAATTTGGTCATCAGTAACTGGTTATGGTGACTTAAACGTGTGCTTTTAGCCAATCAGAATCGGGGAAATATTTTGAATGAATAATAAGAACAACTAGTAAAATCCAACTACTGGTCTATTATCAATGCTGCGTTGTGATTGGTTGAGCTACTACTAGGCTATATGTTACAACGGGGCTCCCTCGCGCGCGGAGCGCGCGTGGGACAGAGCCCCATACTCATAGAATATGGTCAACCTCTTTTCGTTTGGTTGTCACGTGACCGACCGAGCGTACGTACGTACGTACGCGTCTACAGATTGTACGGGTAGGGTAGGGGAGACTATCAAAATGAAGGGAGGGGTGTCTCAGGTGTGTCTTGGCAAACCCATATCTTTTATATTGGCCATTTACAATATGGTCAATTGACAGCTGTCAAAACAGGATAGCCACTGACCAGTATCACATTGCCATATCGAGGGCTCATGTGTCAACTCATCAAGGTGACGTGATTTATTTGGAAGCTGTCCGCTGACCAGTTGTTTTACTAGATCGCAATCAATGTTCAACTCATACTTTCTAGCTAATTTGAGAGCACAGGAAAACTGATAATGCACACATCCATTGGACATCAATGCTGTGATCAATTGATAGCTGACAAAACAGGCTGACCAGTATCACTTGACCGTATCGCGGGCTCAGGTATTGGCCCATCGAGGTCCAGTATTTTTTGAAGTTATCCGTTGACAAGTTACTAGTTTTCAAATGATCGCAGGCTCAAGTTTGATTGTTTTTAATTCATATTAAATATGTTTTGTTTTTGTGCCGCACAATTAAATTTTTTATTTAAAACTGACCTCGAACGCGAAAATTGAGCCAGCTATTACAGGCAGGGAAGGCAGTTGCTTTTGACTTTCCTCACCATGGTCACGCGTTGGTCACGCTCTACGTCCAATTTTTATGCTCTGATTGGTCAAAATTTGACAGGTGAGATCATTCGGAAAATTTATGCAGCATCTTGAATCTTGTTTACTTTGACAGCTGAAGCTGACAGAGTTTTGTGTCAACTTGTGATGTTTTTAACTGTCTTTTTTCACTGGATGCACAAAATGAAATTCAGCTGCTATCAGGAGTCTTCTGTTATTCATGGCTAGTTGGTTTTTGCTTGAGAAATTATTACATTACTTGTCAAAGTCGGAAATCCGATTTCGGAAGCATCGATTTCGCTTTTCACCTTGCTTGATGCGCAAGGGTTGAAATTTCTGAAGCGATACTGGCCTTCCTTGATACCTTTCAGGAGCTGCATCTCGAATGGTAAGCCTCAGTAATTATTGTGTTTGATGTTTGTTTTTTATATCTAATTTAATGAAGTCGAGCGCAGTTTATGCGGCTATGTAGTTTATGCACGTTTGTAAGATTTGAGACAATTTGTTATGACCAAGAATCAGGTTTGATATAAACTTACAGAACTTTAAAAGCCTTTAGACATTTTCTCACCGCAAATAGAAAGAAAACGTTCAAAAGAATATTTAGTTATAATTCTGGCTGTAAAAGAAAGCTTTGAGCGATTTTCTTGCCTCGAGTTCATCTTTGTAAAAAGTAAATACCGGGAAGCCGGCTTAAAACATAACCTTAAGCTTGAAGACTCAGGATTTTTAGAGACACTTTAATACTTGTCTTCGTGAATGAAAAATGTTGTCTCTGTATATGTTTCACCGAATTATAATTCTTTTATTGATTGTTGGTAGTCTCTCTTGTAATTGTAATCGCCGTGCCGTTTGTTTTTAGTCGTTCAGTGAACATCGCTTGCAGGAGTACTCAAAATGCCGCGCGTATATCAAACCGGCGCTTTTAAAGATTACACATCGATAAAACCATTTAATAAAACTGAATAAACATAATAATTTCTTTATTATGTTGTAGCTTAACTCTAGTATGTTCGTTCAAACACTCGCTACAGCTCGCACTGCAAAAGTGAGAACCGGCTGGCCGTATATGTGATTTTGGAAATTTGTTTAACGGTTTATGCTTCGATCGTCCTGAACAGTCTGTCCGAGGTAGGGGGGGAAAGAGACGAGGTCTGGGACCAAGAAACGATGTTCTCACAACTTGCAAAGCGGTCACCACGCGTGGTGGTCAGCGGATAAATGCAGTATTTTTCCCACAGTAAATATTTTTAGAAGCAAGAAGTGAACCGGCAGGGGAAATCAGAAATGCTTAAAAATTGAAAAAAGTAACATCATGCATCTTTGTTTTTCTTGCATATCGTATTTGTCTTTCGGTACTGAAATTGCGGGGGAAACCGTGTTAGATCTCAACCAACAACAATGCGCTCGATCGATTTATAGGTTACATCGTTTTTGCCGGGTAATGATAGCTTGATGCTGATAAAAATTACTGGAGAAAGTGTTAAATTTATCGGAAAGCAAGTATATGCAGAGAGCTTTATAAATATGAGCTTACAGCTCTAAAATCATAACTGAATAAACATTCACACTTCATGACATTTCACTTCGTTTATCACGATCAGTCAACAAGTTGAATCCAAAGTTAAAATTCAAAACGATCCTAATAAACAAATCACAACTACTACAGAAAACTCTGTACCTTGAAGCGACTTAAACTTTCCTATAAGGTTTGCAGCAAAACACTGCTTGATAGCTCAACTCTAGCTCTTCGGCGGTTCTTATCAGCTGTACGGAGCTATATGTTGCATATTCCAAACTCTGCAGAGGGAAATTGTTTAACAGAAAAAGAAAACCACACACAATGTCTGAAAAGCGACATGAAATCAATAAATTTGCGAATTACCGAAATATAATAGTGAGAAACAGTCCCGCCTTCGACCGCCATGTGTTTGTTTTTTCTCAAGACCGTTGATCTATGGATTTTGACGTAATGCGCATGATCAGTACACAAATCCGCTGGCAAGACCTTTGCTGATCGCTTTGCAAGTTGAGAGAACATCGTTTGGATTTCATTTAAGAGAATGTATGGGAAGTAGCTTCCCCCCCCCGGTCCGAGGTCTGTATGATAGTACTGTTTCACCTCAGATGTGATGTATAAATGGTATAAAAGGTTGGTTTACACGCGCCTGGATTTTTTTTGCAAGATTTTGTAAAGTAAACTTGTCGAACGCAAAAAAATTCGGCCTGATTTTTTTCCAGGCCTAATTAATCTTACGGTGATCAAGAGCCACTATTTTTTGGGTTTAGATATGAGGCTATCAACTTGATGGAAGATTTTGTTCACTCTTGGGCTGTTTGCAAATTATTTTTCACGAAAATCACTAAGGCTTTCCTTTAAAAGTCACATGAATGTGCTATGTGCTCTAAAGTTAACTGAATTGTGGAATACAAGTTTATTGTTTGATTTAAATTATAAATATATTAATGGAGCCTCGCTTTTAGCCCTGGCTAAATCTATATATTATCCCCCTAGTAGCGAAAAGCGCGGGTGTTTTGGCGGCAAAAAAAGATTAATTTTTGACCAACTAGTTGGATTTTACTAATTGTTATTCATGCAAAATATTTCCCCGATTCCGATTGCACGCATAATTCACCATAACCAGCTACTGATGACCAAATTTGAAAGAATTTTGCGTTTAATGAACCGATAACGTCAAAAGTGCAGTTTTCTTGCAGGTTAATGCACCGTTAACTGAGGAGACCTGGGACGAGGTTGAGTGGTTTTGGTTGTGAAAACAAAAAATGGCGGACGTTTTACTAGTTTCAAGAGTAAAAACATGGCAAGAACAGCAAGAAGACGACTTGAAGGGCGACATCTGCTAGTTGGAGAATATTTGCGGAGCTGAACAACCCTAAACGTGCTCTATCGAAGATGAACTTAACATCAATGGATCGATGGGGGTAAGCATGTTTTAGCCATCTTTTTAAACTAGGAATTATTTTGAATGAATAATAAAACAATATATTGAATTCGGCTTTTGTGTCATATGAAGAATTATGGAGGTCTCATAAGATACTCAGCCTCATTCATTATTGTTAATTTCTCTAAGTTGTGCACCACTCTTTCCTTGTTATAGAAATATTTTCTACTGCACCCCTCCCCCCTCTCCCCAAGATGGTTTTCAGTTTAATGACAGCGGGGAGACCACTTCCCCGATAGCCTCCAGCCCTCTCCTAGCCTTCAGATAGTTACGACGGCGCCCCCATTTCAGCTCAAGATGGCTGTTTTCTTTCAAGTGATTTTAGGCGAGTCGTCAGTTCGTTTTCTATCTTCCAGAAATTTGTAAACGACCACACAGGTAAATTAATAAAGCTGCCCCTGCGCTGGCATGTTGGATTTTGAAAGAAGGGATGTTATTTTAGATGTACTACAAGTTTTGAATCGAGTAAGAGAACAGGTACTGGTGAGACAAATGGGGAACTTGAGCGAATCTTAAACTACTCTGTGGTAGACGATTCCCTTTTTTAGCTACATTTGCACTGTGGACTAATATAACGTGCGGAGGAGATGAAAACTCCGCTGATGTGTAACATCTTAAAGATTTTCAGGGCCGCAAGATGCCAGCGTATTGACTGCGAAGTGAATCTAATTAACCTCTCTATACTTTTAACACGTGTCACGTTTTCATTTCCTCCATCAGTGCAGTCAGTTGACTGAGGCCAGAGGTTGGGCTGGTGCCCTTATTAGGTATGAGACGGGGGGGTACTGCCTTCTTAAAGCGTTTGGCTGTCTCTTCTGGTAGACTTCAGGTTTTAATTTTCCGTACAATATATCTATCCAATTATCCTGAATTTTCTTGGCAAACCAGCGCCACTAGGCGTCTCGTTTGCACGTGATCCAACGCTGAAAATAAGTGTATTATCCCTCCCCTCTTTCAAGGGACGTTTGGGGATGGGAGGAGCGGATCGCAAGCTAAAGGCGATGTTGCACGGGATGATTCGCAACCTCGATTTGGAGTGTTATAACAATGTTCCGAAAATGTTTTGAGTTGTCTCAACATTGTTACCCGAAAATTCGTCGTTGGAAATCACCTCGTGTAAGATCCCCTTATTGAAGCCAGCGACAAATATTTCTACGTACAAATATATTACTTTTTAACCCGTTTTTCTTTCTTTTTGCATAACTAAGTTAAAAGTTGTATGAGAATTTAATCCAATATATGACGTCTCTGTCCGGCTTATATCGGTTCCCGATTGTTATTCTGCGTCAATACCCGTTCTCGCTTCGGTTCCTTTTCCTATTGTTCCTCTTCGGGACTCCGGTTTCCTGATTTTCCAGACGCCTATTTAAAGTCATGACAGTTAAAAGATTATTAAAGCTTCTAAGTGGCAGTTTTCTATACACGTCATCGTATTAGTAAAAGTAGATTGGAAGATAGTAATCAAAAGAAAGGGTGTCCAAGTTATGGAGTTTGGAATTAACATTCGGAACTGACCTCCTTCCTCAGTCATCTTCTCGCTAATATTTTCCATTTCACTTCTCATCTGTTCTCTGATTTTATCTAAAGAGAAAACGATATGGTTTGTTTCTCACGGCAAAGTTAAAAAGTCACAAAATTTGAAATTCGTTTTGTTAAGAACAGTATTAAAAGTTAGCCTAACTCAAAGAATTAATAAATTTAGCTCGAAGTTCTTGTTTTTGGAAACTGACCTCCATCCTCAGTAACGGAATTTCTCATGGCCTCCAGCTTCTCGCTCATGTTTCCCATTTCACTTTTCATCTGCTCTGTGAGTTTAACTAAAATAATGATATACACAAAAAAATTACTCAGTTCTGATTGGCTGAGAAAGGAGTGCAGCTCTTCTGTAACACGAGTGCAAAATGTGTAACACGAGTGCAAAATGTGTAACACGAGCGCAAACTTGTAACACGAGTGCAAATTACAAATGCTTTCTGATTGGCTGAAAACACAAAAGAAACCATCAAGAACCAATCAGATTAGAGCTGTTTGAACAACAAAAATTCAAGAAAATGGCCATAGTTTTCAGCAGACGACGACGGGATTTAATTTGGTACGCCAAACAACAATCGAAAATTAAAAAAATATTTCAAAAACCCGAACAAGGTAAAAAGTGCGTCTTTCTGGCTAAATGTATTGAAAATGCGTTGCTAATAGAAAAATACTGTCAACAAAAACGAGGAAAATGAGCCAGAGGAACTAAAAAACAAGCTACTTATAACAGACTACGCTAAAGTAAAAAAATGAAGAACAAAAACTGTTTCAACCACACGCAAACCATGACAGCTACACTCCTCAAGCATTTAAATGAACAAGGATACAATTCCATGACAACAACAGGGATTTCAAGTGATGTACGTTATTTGTTACTCTCTTTGAGGCTTTTGTGGAGCGAAGACCTCTATTAAAACATCCATGCGATGGTCTGGTTTTTTTTTTCTAAACCAATTCCAATTCCTAACCAATGGGCGAAAATACCACAACTCACATAATGAAAGTATCCGCCGCTGGTAGTAGCCTTAAAGAAAGTGAGAAAAATGTTTACGAATCATGATCATTGTGCAAGAAAAACAATAGTCAGGAAGCTGAAGAAAGCAAAGATTGTAAATTCAGAACATATCGTCAGTGTCACTGGCCAGAGAGGTATAAATTTCCTTAACAACTACGATGAAGGCGACGAAGAAGACCTACGACGACTCTTGCAGTAGGCCAAGTAAGATAATGAAACTCCAGCGCTGAGAAAAAGCAAATATTATATTAATACTGGCAGTTTCCAACATCACAACAACTGTGGCTCCACTCACCCATCGATAACAGCGTCGAAAGAAAACAAATTGCCTCCTTCATTTTCGGGTTTTAAATCTCAAAAATTTGTCCATGAATCCAGCTATGATGGGGTCTCAGGAACAGACAATGATAAACAGTCGTTAAAAAACCTTAGCAAGTGTCTTTCATCTTTGGCTGCTCGAAGCATACTCCTGATTTCAAAACGGCAGTATACTTCTTGGAAACGCTTCTTGTAAACGCTGAGCTCTCATAATCGAGGATGAATTTAAAAACACTTACTTTTGCTGATTGTTGTAAACCAAGTTATCTTTAACAGGCTGGTGACCATATAAAAAATCCTTACACATTTCCAAGTTCTTAGCTGAATGATTTTGAAAGCGTTGGTCTTGAAAAGGTTTGAATTTGACAAGGGTAGTAGTCTGTTTCAGCCAATCAGTTGAATGCACTAAAAACTAGCGCACAGTCAAAATTTGTTGTTGTAGTTATGTTTTTCGTGTATATTATTAATAAGTAATCATATGATTTTTCCCGTGCAATTTAATAAATGAATAAGCAATTGTAAATTTTTCAAAGACCAACAAAAGTGCACGAGCCCGTAGGGCGAGTGCACTTTGTGGTCGTGCTTATTTATTCCAAATTGCACTCGAAATCATGTGATCACCTATACAAATTCAGTAAACATCCAAAATCAGTGTCCAACTTGTCAGCTGAGATAATTAGCAATTATTGAATGAGGCTGAGTACGCTCTGAATAATTATGCAGATCTCGGAGAGTGTTATCCGCCTGGATTTATCTAATTCTTCAGATCATACGAAAGCAGATCCAATAATTGCTCAATAAGTAACTCGCCTGCGATCGTGCTTACTGTTGTTGTTGCAAACAAATTTTGTTTAAATAAACAACTACTTTTATGTTTTTTTGTGTAAAGTTCACATCATGGCAACTCACTCAGTCACAGAATTACGGCCTTAAGACGTTAAATTGAATCTGCTTGTAGTTCTTCATGTGTCGGTTTGTGGTTGTTAAAAGTGTTTTTTTTGTAAGGAAAAAAGTCTATTTTGTCTAATTCCAAACTTTTCATTTCAGCCCCACCCATACCTTATTCTACTCGAAAAGTAGATTTACCCTCGAAAAGAATAAACCTATTAAGTACTATAGAAAACGCTTCAAAACCTTTATTAGTTAATACCTTCCATTCTGTCAAGTTGGTCCTTAATGTTATCTTCGTCTTTCTTCCATTCCTTTAACAGCTCTCGGTAATGCTTCTCTGTATCTGGATCCATAGTCTCAGTTTTTAGTTGTGCGATAGCAGTTACATCTACACCCAGTACAACCAGTGCGGCACTTATATCCTGCCACAATGAATGAAATATTAGATCGTTTACAGACGCCTGGCTGGCATGCCCATAGACCGAGTTTCTATAGTACTTCACTCTGGCTATGTTAGCCTCAAAATTCGTGTCTGAAGCAGTTGGCAGACTGTCCCAGCCTGTGGCAGGAGCAGGCAGACCACAGATGTTCCTCAGCAGCACCATCAACAGGGTGGTATCAAAGTCCTCTGATGTTACAGATGAAGGAGGAGAGGGATACAGCTTACCCCATTGTGTAGCATTGATGATTCTCTTCTTTTTAAGGGACTGCAGAGTTGAATGTTCTGGAGAACCACCTTTCAAAACATTAAACAAGTTTGCTGGGGAGTGGAATTTGTCAAAAGTGTATCTCAAGGCCTTAGTGCCTCCATCTACTAAAAGGCGACATAATCTTGCGTAATTAGTCGTCTCCTTCGTGGATGGAGCCAATGTTGGAGCAGAAGCCATCACAGTAGTCCTGCAAGACATAATTTAGATCCTCTTAGTTATATGCCCTATTCCCACTAGTGCCTTAGTTGGCATTTGTTCTCAGTTTGTAAAATCCTCAAATAACAAAGAACCATTTAAAAGTATTTTTAACAAGGGCTTTATATGAATTGTGACTACACTGAATGTTATCTACAGATTGAAAAATGAAAGAATAACAATAAACTAAACGTAAACGTAAATTATGCAAGCTTGCCAACGAGTTCTAAATAGCATATTTTGTTCTTTACATCACATACCGCTGATCCCCAAAGCATCACTACTGGGAACCGTTCTTTAGTGAACCGTTGCACCTTCTGCTAGGTTTTCCTACAACTGTCGGACCAGTCACTTAAGATCAGACCACTGGTCCTCAGATTTTAAATTGACAATAATATTGAAAAGATTTCACCGAGTGGAAAGGAATGTTGTTTGCATGAACATTAAAACAAACCAGCAAAAGAAATGAATCACGGCTTTCTTCTTATCGCGAAACCATAAAAATTCGCTCGTGAAGTTTAAGGTTTTCCATTAATAAATCATCCACGCCAATTTTTTCCCGAAATAAGAAACCTTGCTCTCAAACAAATTATGGACAAACGTCTTGGGACACAATTACCTGCACATGTATGGGGCTCTCATTAAGTCGCACATCCCCAACGCCCCCCACCCCCCTCTCCCACCCCACAAACAAGGTTGCTTAAGGACGGTGCCCACTAATGGGAAGTATTAATTTTTTTTCCCAGATAATGATTATGTGAGACAAGTAGATCATATCAGGGGCTATTGAAATCCGAAAAGAAAACTGGGAGTAACCACGCATTTTTCAGAGATAACCATATTATGGCTGTTGGTCATGTTTTAAAATAACCTTCCGCTGTAAAGACTCTGAAATTTGAATATTGGCGGCAAAATAGAATTGCAGGGCAAGACTAGTTTTTAGATCGATTTTCAATTAAGGTAAAGTAAAGAAACATTCAAATGGATTGGTTTGCTCGAAGTTGCGTTTAACATCAATCAATATATGCAGAATAACCGAAACATAGTTACTGCCAGAGCATGAAATTAACTCTTTTTTCGTAGGATCCACTTGGCTACTTAATACTTCAAAGTGGTAGCCTATTCCATTAAGTCAAATACGTCCTGCATCTTCAGAAGGAAAAATATAAACGAAACAAAACAAGAAGAAACAGAACAAACAAGGAGAAACCGGCCGGTTTTTCTAGATGTTATTTTAGAGTTGAGATCGTCCAAATTTGAGATTTACAAGTTTTGAACCCAAATGATTCTAGCAGGTAATCAAAAGTAAGCAAAGAGGACCCCTAGATATCTACTTGGAGAACTAAGACTTCGTTCGCCATCGACAGAGTTTCCTAGTGAAATATTTGTCATTTTGCATGATCGTCACAGACAGTGGTACCTGTATTAGTTGCAATTTCACTCCCTGATAACATGCAATTACATGAACTCATTTTGACCCAAATTTTAATTTGTTAAGCCCGGGCTTAATGGTTTAAAAGCAGCTACGCCACTGTCAGCGCTGAACTGTGAGGGACTTTTCCTCTTCTGATCACGCTTGCGGCAAACCTTAAAAAAATATTGCTGTGTTATATGAAACGCCTAAGCTAAGATAACAACAGGGTAATCCCATACTTGTCTAAAAAAGAATGCGTCACAAAACAAACTTTCTGTTTCTTTTTTTCATGATCTCCATAAGCACAACGTACTCAGCGGGATCAAACCAACCACAGGGAAATCCGTGTTATTGATGCAGATGTCGATGTTGGTACTAATGCTGCTACCCGGGTACTACTCGATCCTACTCATGGACAGGGACTCAAAACCAGTATATGCAGTTTTGTTCAGTTGCAAATATTCAATAATTTGTGACAATTGTTCAGAAACTCGGCACTTTTAAAATAGTCTTCCTGATCCTGGGCTGTAGGAATTAGGACGGAATCCATCAGGAAATTGAGTGATCTAATTTTCAGTGGACAAAAACCTTGTACCAGAATAATTTAAAGCATATTGCATTCTTTTTTTATATTTTATAAGGGCTAAGGATGTAATTAGTCATCTGTAATAAAACCTTTTAAGGTGTTACTCTATCTGCTGTTTAGGCATTTTCAATTGCAAATAACAGCCGTAGCCAGGTGATTTTTTCGGTGCGAAAATACCTTCGACTTTGCTGGAGGGAGGGATGAGGTAGGATTGTTGACGTCGTTGTTTTAAGCACTTTTTGGAATACACATGTTTTTCGGTAAAGGTTATTACTAGGATATTACAACCATTTTTATGTTTTTTCTTTCATTAGGACTTACTTATTATTATTATTATTTTTTTAACCTTTTGAATTTTTATCCCGTTACTCGTTTTCGCGTTACTCGTTACTGCGTTACTCTGTTTAGTAACACCCGAAGAATAATATATGTTGTCAAGAATCGATGATACACTGAGATTGCATTATCAATTCCGATTTCATTTCCCTCATGCTCAGTTCTTCTCAAGATTCGGCTCACCCCAAGATTCTCTTTAAGGAGAAACAATTAAATTAACAAACATTTCAATTTTTATTAATCCTCAACGAAATATGGTCTAGTTAGGAACCACAAGAAATACAACTAAAGCGTGTCTGGATATCGATGCGGGAACGTGGTCATTTGCATTTACAAAGGAGAGTGATGGTGTAAATATAGAAATAAATCTAAACATTCTGAACATTGTCATCAACATGTCTTCTTAAAACGAATAAATAGTAAATACTAAAAGTTGTGCAGCCTCAAGAAAGACCAAGAAAAGAGGCCAGTGATGACAAAGAAACGAACTTATCCTAAACATGAATCGATCGATTTCAGGCTGGAAAACAAGAAACAACATGGCTTCATGTACTCGGACACTCGCTAACAGCAGCTGTTTAGAGGCTAACAACTGATCAATATACTGGGAAGAAGTCTTTTAAGATCGCTTTTAACAGCCTTTTTGTTCAATCTCCTGACTTAGGAGGAACTATACCATCCTATCATCAGAACATAAAATGTACTAAGACATCAAAATTCTCGTTCAGCTTACCTACTCTTCGTTAAAGACTTTTCGTCGCTTATCTGAATTATTTGGCAGCTTCAGGGTCGTTTAGGTGACTCCAAATAAAAATCTACTCATCCCTGGAAGGCGGTAGTCAGACCATCAGAGAGTTCGTGTTCCTTTTAAGGTTTCTCCTGAAACAAACATGGCAATGTACAATGTTCGTGATAGAGACGAGATAATCAGTCTAGACAGCCGTACAGTCACGCGAAAACAATTGCTTAATACCTGTGCACTGATCTCTGAAGAAAACGTTCTAAATGAACGAATCTACGTTCATCAACTAAGGTGAGGTTCCCAGCGCCATTTTAGTTTCCGCCTCAGACGAAAAAAGAATGGGGCGTATCATCGTAGAAAGATCACGAGTTTAATCGCGAGTAGCGTGACCAAAGTAACACTCATTTCCATACTATGGAATGACGTCGACACATTTATGATTCATACACAACGTAATTCTCTACAAAGGAAAGAACTGCATTGACTATATATATTGATCAGGGTGAAGCCCTGAGAATAGTGATTAGGGTTAAGCACTCACGCGAAAAACGGTTAGCTGGTTAGCTTCTATTTAGGGTTAGGTTTGCTGCTATGTATAGCTTTTAAAATCAAGCCCTTAATCGTCAGCAAGTCCTCGGTGGTGTAGCAGATCCGATGCTCGGATCGAATAATGCTCGTACCAACCTGGAATTTTTTTCCTTAAAAATTGAAGAGGCTTAAACTTTCATGAACATTTTATCAATCAGAAATTTTAAGAGACATAGAAATTTCATGTAAGAAAAGTGAAATGTCTTGTGAGAGCCACTGAGGGGAAAATGTCATTCTGGAGTATGGAAATGAGTGCTAATTTGGACACGCGATGTAGAAAGTCATGGGATACATCTAACACAGACAAAAGGGCTACTTTGAAACGTGCCGGCTAGTTCTGGGCAACCCATAAAAGTAACGATAGATAAAGAATGAATGGTGTGGATGTCCAGGACTTTAAAACTGTTTTTCGTATGTCGCAGAGTGTAGCCCATGACATAAACCCAGTACCGCCGACACTCGCGTTCCTTTTCTTTAGGAAACGGATTTTTTCTTACCAAGGCAAAACTGATTCGCGTCCACGTATCGCTTTCGAATCATTTTCACCCAACTAAACTTATCTCATTCTGTTTAAAAAAAACAGAGACACGTATTTATACGGATTGGCCTTCAGATCATTTTACAGTTTTCCTGCGTACCAATCAATGTTTGATCCATAAAAATCAATACCACTCTTACTTAGTACCACGGCCTATATCGGAGGCTCCGCCCAAAAGTGGTACCGTAAAATCCCTAAAATAAGCCCCCTCCCCGGGCTTACATTTTTCAAATGCCCTTTTTCAGGGGCTTATTTTTGGAGGGACTTATATTCGGAGGGGCTCATCTACGAAGGGAAATTTGCGTTTCAAAATTGATTGGGCTAACCTTATATTTGGAAGGAAATTTACCGTTTTCGTTTTGTTTTACTTTGTATTTGAGGGCAATTTCCAAGTACAAGCCTCCCCTGGTGCTTATATTTGGAGGAGCGATTTAAAGGAGGGTTTTGGGGGGGGCTTATATTTGGAGGGGCTTATTTTCGGAATTTTACAGTACCTTTATTAGGCTTTTTGTAAATGAAAGGGTAGGGATTTCTCTAGTTGAAGTATATGAAAGGTTAGGGCAATCTGTCATATTGGTCTGTAAAATGACCTTAAAGAGCTACAGAAGAATTTTATGGCGAGAAAATGTTCTGTTTTTTTTTATTTATTAATAGTTTAAAGACAGTGTATTTATAGCAGTTAAAAGGGATGCAAAGTTCTTAACTATTGTATGTATGTGAAGGTGGTACCATTTGTCAGTGGAAGGTATTCTTGGTTTGCAGCCACGAGACAAGGCGGCAATATTGGGGGTCAAAACAATAAAATTTAACTCGTTAAGAATTTTCATGAAAATGGAGTTAACTTCGCAGAGGAGAGAAATGCTTTTGTTGTTGACCACTAACATGGCTGTCATGACGTCACGTGCAAACCAGGAATAAGAAAGAGTACTATTTCTGTCAAAAATGTAGCCTGTGTACAGACCCCTTATCTCCTCACGACACATCGAAGAAGGGGCGTCTGTGATTCACCTTTGCTAATAATGTAATCGTGTATGGAGGCCACGTGATTATTCCCGGAATGTGTGGAAAAGGATTTGATTGGCTGCTACTCGTAGATCACTTCATCATCATGTAAATAAGGGATTTTGGTTGGCTTTAGGGTCTGTCGTCAAAACACACCAGTCAACCAAAAAATCATCACATTCACGGACAAATATACACATTAGCTTTTCAGATCCAGGGATTTCAAAGCAAAGAAAAAGCAAACTTTATTGAAAGGTTCTTTCTTCTCCGATTTCTTATTGCACGGAGAAGGGAGGGGGGGTCTGTACACAGGCTATCAAAAATGGTATATAAAAGGGTAAGGGGTTGGACCTCGGGGTGGAGTTTCCCCGTCTGAAACTTTCTACTGTACCCTCGGGCCTAGTGCCTAGTCTTGCTTGTGGACCTCTCTTGAGTTGCAAATCTTAAAAATTGAAACATTCTTATTCTGCGTGAGATCCGCTGCTGTTACTTTATCGCTTTCATGCTGGATCACGGGAGATGGTGACCGGTAGCTCGAATATTCCACTGCGTGTAATTAAACCCAGGCCAGAGAGAGTTGCTGTTTGTTTGTGTTTTTGAACATTCGTCACAGGGAAACAAACGTCACAGGTACAACACCGGTACCTTTTCATGATTTCTTTTTTCTCGTTTGAAATTTCTCTCCATTTTATACGATATACATATACAAAAATCCGGAGGCTTAATAAGGAAACGAAGATGTGTTTTTAACGCGGAAACTTCTCGGGGGAGGGAGGAGGGATTTAAAGGACGTTTTGTTGGGGCTGTGCTAGCAGCTGAAACTCTTCGATTCTGACCCTGTTTAAGGCGAAATACACTAAAATTGCAACCATGTTGAAGACGCTATTTTTAAGATTGAAGATCCAATAACCCATCCCCCCACCCCCGCCTGGGCGCGTGTGTCCATCCGTCAACTCCAAAGAGAACCGTTCTCCATATATGGAGGCGAAGAGACAATACCGTATAGTCAAGACATCATGACTGGTTTCGGTTTCGTGTGTGATAGATCTACTGTATTTACCCATTTTTTAGGCCAGTTTTCCAAAATGTACACAAGCGTACTTGTCAACCGAAGTTTTCATGCTAAAGAACAATTTCACTACAGTTTCGCTCAAAAGCAATGCTAAATTCTCAGTGATTTTAATGGTGCGCGATTAAACATTCCATTTGTACGTTACCAAGCGCAAATTTTAAGGCAGATAACACAACGATGAATGTATTCCGAGTATTTTTCTGTGTTTCCTCGTTTTTCAGGCATGATCTTAGATTGCAAAAGCATCCGGTGTTTTTGGCTCTAGTTTCTAGTTTCACTACCGGAAATACCGTGTGGTACGAAATTTTTGCGGGTTCGAATTTTTGCGATTTTTCCAGCTATCCGCAAAAATAAGTTTCTGCAACTAAAATTAGCGCAAACATTTTTCCCGCAAACATTTCCTCCAGAGTAAACCAATATTCTCTAACTTAAGGTCGGAAAAACGTGCAACTTGTCTCGCAACACTGCTGGAAAACGAGTTGAATAGCGATGTTGCACGTTTTACAACCCACATCAAACCCGTCTTGCAACAAATCAGGTTGTTAACAGGTTTGAACGTGCGTGGTAAAACGCGCAACATCGCTATTCAACTCGTTACAGAAATGTTAAATACAAATCTAAGAAATCGCGTCTGTTCAATTACAACTTTTCTCTTTCGTTTAGAAACAAAACGGTATACAATGAAATACTGGTTTAACACAGGATACGCACACCGTAGTATTGTTTGAAAATATGTATTTCTATTGCACCTACAGTCGAACCTGTATAAGGCGGTCACTGAGAACTGTAACGTTTTGTAATGTTTTGCGCGTACTAATTAGTTGCATTAGTTCTTAAATTTAGACTAATAGCTTTTGCAATACTGTAATTCATTTATGGTCATGCAAATAAAGCATTTGTTGTTGTTACCTCTATTAAGCGGTCACGGTCACCATTTGCGAAGTCCCAAAGGGACTTTTTCTATTGTCTTGACCTGTTTTAAACGGTCACACGGTGTCAATTACTTGTTCCCACAGTTTCAAATACTGTAACACACGAAGTACAACAATTTATTTCCTTGTTTATTTTCGCAAATCATTAAAACGCCGGAAATGAATGTTTCTATTTAAGGTCAAACGACCGATCTGATCAGCACTGGAGATCGAATTCTTTGAACTGTATTTCTTGGAACCTGTATTAGGCGGTCACCGGCAGATGCGAGCGCGGAACGAGTGACTGGTGAAGAACTGCAAGGGACCATGGGAAGGGCAGCGGTCACCCTGTATTAAGCGGTCACTTAGCCAATCCCCGAGGGGGACCGCTTAATACAGGGGTAGTGGGTACTTTCTGAAAATCGCAAAAATTAATACCCAGCAAGAAAAACCAACCTGTCCTAATCGCAAAAATTAGTCCCCACAAAACACAAAAAATCACCAATCCGCAAAAATAAACTTCGGCAAAAATTTCGTGCCACACGGTACGTCTGCGGTTCGCAGGGTAGCATGATCTGCAACATGTAAAAGATGAAACGTGATCTATGACGTTAAAGAGTTATTTCGTAGAAAACACCAGAAGGACTAGTGTCATGATCTCAAAAGATCGAGTGAGTTATCAGGAATTACAGAAAATAATACTGATTTTTTCAAAAATAAAATTATTTCGTCAAAGGGATAACATAGAAGTGAGGAAAAAAATGGTAAAGAAAAAAATTTGAATAGTTTTAATTCAAATTCTAAACATCAGGTAACCGACTAACCAATAAGAACCAATGACATATCTGAAGATTTTACCAACAACATAATTTAATCTAATTTTTTACGAGTTTTGTGGCTCACAGCCACTTCGATTCTTACTGATACTTCATAATGCTGTACTTTTATTTACCCAAATTTATAGCTGCAATGATCCGTTACGACGGGAACCTGACACAAACTTTATGCGCAGATGAAAATTTCTTTTCCTTGATTGATATTTGCACAATACAAATTAATAAATATTATTGTTATTATTAAACTTGTCCAGTGAAGTAATCGCAAACAGATTCGATAAAAAAAGTTTCAATAGCCTCAGAATGTACAATTTACACAACTGCATGCTAACAAACCTTACACCATAACAATGAACATTATTATGAAAGTGCAAGTCTTTGTACAATGCAGCTAGCTGCTACTTACATAGAGGATCTGGATTAGAGCTGAAAATTGGCCAACATTTCAACCGTCAGCTGAGAAATTAATGACTTTCTTTAACTCATAGCGGAGTTCTGAGGTGCAAAAAATTAACAGATGGCTGAGATATCGCCGAAAGTCTGGCTGATAATTAATATACGATCATACCCATGCAGATTCTCCATCCTAATTCCTTTGTTTATTAACTGATTTTTTTATCATTACATGAACTAACTTGTTGCCAGGCTTTAACAAGGAAACCAGATCCGTCGCTTGCGTGCTATTTGTAAAACTCATCTCGTTCTTTCAATGTAAATGACTTGATCAAAAAGTGAGTAACTTTAATATTTTTCTTTGCCTTTTTTAACTTGCATTTTCTGGTTCTCTCCAAAAGAAGCGGGGAAACAAAGTAGAGAAAGAGAAAACCGAACGATTTCAAACTTTCAATATGGGATACGGTTACCGTGTGCATCGTAAAGTTTTTTCTGAACAGATTCACTGATTTCATTACCAAGCCACAAACATTAGGTTTTCAGAGTTGTGTTTGTTTCAAGCGCTTTAGCAAGGGAGTCGTCACCAGCAGAACCAAGGTTATTTTTCAACAAACACAAATATGTCAGAGTTGTGTTTGTTTCAAGCGCTTTAACAAGGGAGTCATCATAGCAGAACCATGGTTACTTTTCAACAAATACAAATATGTCAGAGTTGTGTTGGTTTCAAGCGGTTTAGCAAGGGACTCAGCACCAGCAGAACCATGGTTATTTTTCAACAAACACAAATATGTCAGAGTCGTGTTGGTTTCAAGCGCTGTAGCAAGTGACTCAGCACCTGCAGGATCAAGGTTATTACGCATCAAACCCGCCAAATTTGTCAGAGTTGTGTTTGTATTAAGCGCTGTAGCTAGTGACTCCGCAACGGCATGACCAAGGTTATTACGCATCAAACCCAAACTTGTCAGAGTTGGGTTTGTTTTAAGCGCTTTAGCAAGTGCCTCAGCTCCAGTAGGTGCAAGGTTATTGACAGACAAATCCAAATTTGTCAGAGTTTCGGTTTGTTTTGAGCGTTTTAGCAAGTGACTCAGCATCAGCAGGACCAAGGTTATTGACAGACAAATCCAAATTTGTCAGAGTTGTGTTTGTTTTAAGCGCTGTAGTAAGTGACGCAGCATCGGCAGGACCAAGGTTATTGTCAGCCAAACCCAAATGTGTCAGCGATGTGTTTGTTTTAAGCGCTGTAGCAAGAGACTCAGCAACGGCAGAACCAAGGTTATTACGCATCAAATCCAAATTTGTCAGAGTAGTATTTGTTTTAAGCGCTTTAGCAAGTGATTCAGCACCAGCAGGACCAAGGTTATTGACAGACAAATTCAAATTTGTCAGAGTTTTGTTTTTTTGAAGCGCTGTAGCAAGTGACTCAGTACCAGCAGGACCAAGGTTATTGCCAGACAAATCCAAATTTGTCAGAGTTGTGTTCGTTTTAAGCACGGTAGCAAGTGACTCTGCACCAGCAAGACCAAGGTTATTGACAGACATATTCAAATTTGTCAGAGTTGTGTTTGTTTTAAGCGCTGTAGCAAGTGACTCAGCACCAAAAGGACCAATGTTGTTGCCAGAAAAATCCAAATTTGTCAGAATTGTGTTCCTTTTAAGCGCTGTAGCAAGTGACCCAGCACCGGCAGGACCAAGGTTATTTCCAGACAAATTCAAATTTGTCAGAGTTGTGTTCCTTTTAAGCGCTGTAGCAAGTGACTCAGCACCTGAAGGACCAAGGTTATTTCCAGACAAATTCAAATTTGTCAGAGTTGTGTTCGTTTCAAGCGCAGTAGCAAGCACAGCAGCAGCAGAATCACCTATACCTTCCCCTTCTATACGATCCTCGTCAAGATCAGCCTCTCGAATTTCTAGACATGCGCCAAAGTAACGTGCCAGTTCTATATGAAAATAACTGTTTTCACTTTTGCATTCTTTTATGCACTCCAGTGCGACAGGTAAACCCACTCTCACATCTTCCTCGTTTACCTCTTCCGCTATGCAGAGGATAAAGGATATTGCACGCTCTTCAGATCTTACTGCTAGCAGACCACAGGTAAATTTTAATACCTCTCTCAACTCTCGGAAATATCTTGTGTCACTGACTAATACAAAGGGACTGAGTTGTTCGCTAAGAAGCTGGCAACAAAGATGATATCCTGCGAAGAATTCTTGAAAACTCTTATGCGTGAAGCCGTAGCACAGACACGGCCTTCGTTTGCTGCTTCCAGGTTGAGCTGACAGAAAGCCAAATTCAGGTAAGTCGGCATTTTCACTTGAAAGCCTTTTGTCCCCAAAGTACATGTTGTCCTCATACAGGCCGTCTAACGCTATCGAGCCAAGGAGTTTCAACTGATCTTTGTAGATTTCAATCAGATCCTCATTTTCGACTGGAAGACCTTTCTTTTTCCTGTATCTAATAAGAACACAATGTGCTATTTCCAAGTACAATTGAGTTCTGCTTTCAGGAAAAATACCTTGAAAGTCTTCACAAAGAAGGCAAAGAAGTGCAGTGTTTAAAGGGGTTGCCGCCAAATCTCTGAGTATTTTCTCATTATGTATTTTTTCCAATAGTCTTTCAGCCAGTTCTTTCTTGGCGACAAAATATTTGTGAATAAATTCTTTGATATCTTGATAACTGAAACCTTCTATCTCTAGAAGGGTGTCACAAACTTTTCTTACGGGTATTCCAGCCTCGTGTCGCGCTGTAACCACCAGGTGACATTGAGGAAGCATTTTGCCTCGTATGATGTCGGTAAACTCCGGCCGTTTACTTGAAGGTAACTCGTCCAATCCGTCAAGTACCAGTAGAACCTTTGATTGATTTTGCCGAATGAACTCGAAGAATTTCTCCCTTTCCTTTTGATTAATTTCAGCTGGCAAAAGCTGATCGTCAATGGCTCCCCAAAGGTCGGACTCGATCTCGACATCACGGCATTTCAGCAAGAGTACCATTTCAAATTCTGGAAAGCAATCTCCTTCGTTTTCTATGTTTATAGCCCAGTCGTAAGCAACCTTATTGCAGTATGTCGTCTTTCCCATTCCTGGGTTTCCTTCAATCAATACTTTTCTAGGTTGTTTGCATTCTTCGTGGGGTTTGAAGATTTCCGTCGTTTCAACAACTCTTTGCTGCGCTGTTGCTCTCGCCTTTTTCTCTCTGCTGACCATACGAAGGCGTGTATAAATATCGCTGAGTTGAAAGTGAAAGTCTTCGCACCAAGAAAAAGGCGCGAGCCATCCCTCATGACGTTTGTACTTCTGGCGAATGATTTCAATATGCTCGGCCACCAAACCAGCTGTTGAGAACAAATGAGAACCAACTTTGTTTTAAATAGTTGTCTAAAACAGCTCGGTTTGCTACTTTCCAAGTCCGTAACGCAAACGAATAGAACTACCAATATAACTATGCAAGGAGAAGGCCATTTATTTATTAACTACCCTAGCCATGTGCACCGCCTTAAAAGCAAGCGACAAACATTTCAAACTAGCGGCACGGGGAACCTTCAATAAGTAAACGGAAGATGCTTAAGCCCCTCTTTTTTATTTAAGAACAGTCTTTTAGCAGATCACTGTAATTTGCGAGAAGCAGGGCAAATGGACCACTGCTTTGTGAATTTATTGTCCTTTTAAAAAAGTAAGGGTATTTGAGGACTCACAGTCCCGTGTGGTTGTAGAGTTTGAAAGGTCGGCATCTATTTTTTAATCTGGGGCTAATACATATCCCCAAGGGACATGATGAAAATAAAAAAACTGTTGCAAAATAAAAACACTGGCTGAACATTACAAAAAAGGTGGGTGACTACTCGGTATTGAAACCAAGATGGCCCCCATGCTACTAGGCGGTTCCAACGCCACCATCCTACAGGAAAAGAGTGTTCATGTCATCCTTCATCCTACCCACTGAGAGAATTATTGAAGGCAAATACATAAGTTGCAGCACTTTGGTCCCTCTTGTGGATATGAAGCTGTTCTTTTGGGACCCAAGAGACATTTGTAAGAAACATGCCTACTGATCGATCAGCAATAATGGCTTTAAAGAGCCATCTAAGGGGGATTCTTTTATGGCTACAGTTTGGGGAAACTGACCTTCCTCTTTGGTCGGAGAGACCTTTAAGGTCTGCAGTGTCTCACTGATGTTTTCTATCCCGCTTTTTATCTTCTTTAAATCTTCTCTTGTTCCATCTGTTAGTGAGACGAATACACAAAGCAAAATTAGACTTTCATCACACACCCTTTATAGACGATAAGATAAAGTTATGTTTGTTCAAAGAATAATTTAACCTTGTAAGTGACAGTCTTCTCCATACACGTGATCAATAAAAGCTGATTGGAAAAAATTTCATAGCAATATAGCAATACATATAGTAATTAAAAGAAAGGGTGCCCAAGTTACGGAATTTGGAATCAAACATCGGGAACTGATCCCTCGGCGTTCCTCGGCCTTCTTGATCGCTAATATTGTCTATTTGCTTATCATGTGTTTTATGATTTATATTAAGAGAAAAAGTATAGTTTTGTTTATCACTCCGACCTTACAAGGTCTTGAAAATTTGATATTCAGTTTGTTTAAATATGGTTAAAAGTTAGCTTGACTCAAAGAATTCATAAATCTTGCATGGTTTCCTTTTTTGAAACTGACCTCCATACTCTGTCGCAGAATTATTCATAGCCTTCAGCGTCTCACTCATCTTTTCCATTTCACTTTTCATGTGCTCAAGATTACCTATGATTTTACCAGGAGAAAAAAAAATTAAGTTACCATCAGTGTCGAACTCGTCAACTGAGATAATAACTAACTCGTCTGCCATTCGCTTGCCACTCTTTTTCTAACACATTCTGTTTATTAATGAATAACCAAGTACATATATTGCTATATCGGATGTCAGTTTATTCTTTTCCAAATGTGTTCACGATCTTTGGAAGCAGAAGTTAATTTTGGCCAATTCAAAAATTTCAGTTGAACCGCAACTACACCCTATTAAGGTCAGAAAAGGACACTTATTTCTCAAAGGCACTAAACAATATTCATCTATACCCTTCATTTTATCTAGCTGGTCTTTGATGTTGTCTTCGTCCTTCTTCCATTCCTTTAACAGCTCCTGGTAATGCTTCTTCGTGTCTGGATCCATAGTCTCAGTCTCTAGTTTTTTGATAGCGGCTGCATCTACACCCAGTGCAATCAGTGCGGCACTTATGTCCTGCCAAAAATAATTAAATGTTGGATCGTCCACAGACGCCTGCATGGCATGCCCATAGACCGAGTTCCTATAGTACTTCACTCTGGCTAGGTTAGCCTCAATACCCGTGTCTGAAACAGGTGGAAGACCGTCCCAGCCTGTGGCCGGAGCCGCCAGATGACAGATGTTCCTAAGTAGCACAATCAGTAACGTGATGTCAAAGTCTTCTGATGTTACAGACAATGCAGTAGAGGGATACAGTTTACCCCACTGTGTGGCATTGATGATTTTCTTATTTTTAAGGGATTGCAGAGTTGAATGGTTTGCTTTCAATATAGTAGACAGGTTTGCTGGGGAGTGGAATTTGTCAAAAGTGTATCTTAAGGCCTTGGTGCCTCCATCTACTAAAAGGCGACATAACCTTGCGTAATTAGTGGTCTCTTTGGTGGATGAAGCTAATGTTGGAGCAGAAGCCATCAGAGTAAACCTGCAAAACATAATTTACCAATCACCAATGTTTTATGCTCTATTTTTCACTAGTGCCTTGAGTTGGAATTTGCTCTTTAAAACAAGGGTTTTACATGAGTTGTGACAACACTGATTGTTATCTACAGATTGAAAAAATAAGAATGAGCACTCAAAGTGAGTTACGCAGGAGTGCCAACGAGTTCTGAATAGAATATTTGTTCTTCATATCACTTACCCCTGACTTCCACAGTATTACCGATGCCAATTTTTTCCCCAAAGTATTAACCATTGTATTGAAATTCATAGTTCATTTTGCTCATGGAAGAAGAGTGCAACTGCTGAATATGTTGATCACAAAATTATGATGCAGATTAAGTTGGTAAAATACGGAATATTTCTACACTCTTGTGATGGTAGCTTAACACTGGTCAACAAGCTAAAATCGTGAACAAACGTCCTGGGATACATTTGCATACGTGGGGATTTCCTTGAATCACACATGCCCAACCCCCCCCCAACCCCACAAACGAGGTAAGACGCGTGTGTCCAGAATTTTCCCAAGTTTCAACAGTATAGAGTGGGAGAGAGAACTTGAGATATTTTCAAAGATGTTGTAAGTTTTTATTAGGGCACCAAGAAATGTCAGAAAATTATGAATAGTACATCACTATTCCAAGGACGTTTGTCCAGGATTGGAGCTAAGAAAGAGTAAACTTCAGACCAAGTCAACCTCTATTAATTCTATCCGTAATACGAGGAAAGGCGAGCGGCGAGCTCAAACTGATAAATCCGCGCGACTGCGCAGGACTTTGTGCAAGTTTAAGGAATCAGTAATTGCTTAACAGACCAGTGATAACAAGTATAAGTAGATCCGCAACATTCTAAAGAATTTATAATTTATATGGAAACCTTAACCCAGTAAAGAGAGAATTAACTGTTCATGGTGTTTGAAAATGAAGTAAACAAAAAATGAATGAAATTGAACTCATTAGCGTTATTGTCCACAATTAAGCGATGGGGGACCCCACAAAGGTGAGGTAACATGTGGCGGCTCACCCCACCTATCATGTAAACGTGACCAAATTAAAATGCGAGATTATATGAACAGCCCGGTTACCTCACCTACCTGGGGTCCCCTACCTCCATGTAAACAGGCCCTAAATCATGCAAAGAGGTGTTGTTCAAAACACATCAGAATTACAACAAGACTCGCCAATAGGCGATTTTAATTGGGCTACCAACTTTCCTGGGGGAGAGGGTGACTGCTCACACTCAGGCCACCAGGCTTGTCGCTGAACATTGCGTGACATAGCATCTCATGTGAGAATTTTAAAAACATTTCCTCATTCGAACATTGTACCCTTTTGGAAGACTTTCGTAACAAGAAAAATGAGTACCATTTTTACGTCGGGGCTGTATAGTACCTTTTCAAATTCCACCATTATGAACAAAAAATAAGCAAGTGAACCATTCTAAACAAGAAACAATATTATATAATATTATACAATATTATACTTTCACCCACCCCTCCCCCAATCCCTGTGTCCCCCAAAATATAGTGTGACTAATTTTACCTAACCGGAAATCCCCCAGGACATTTCTTTCACACGAAAAGCAAGGATCGCAATAAGATAAAAAGACATTGGCCGTCACATTTTAGACGATTTAAATTTCAACATAAAGAGCAGAGAAAACTTAAAACCGATCCATCCTACTATCTTTTGAAACTGGCACTGGTAAAAAGTGGAAAAGATAGCTTGAGAGACGTCTTTATTCACTGAATGTACACACAAACACAGAGAGATTTGCAATGACGTTTTAAAAGGGAAAACATCATCCAAAGGTTTAAACTTCAACAAATGGTGAAGAAAAACCCCAAAACGTACTCATCGTAGAGTCTTTTGAAGGAGACGATGAAAAAGAACACAAAAACATGTTTATTTAATGGCTGCCTTCGCTTAACATGGGTAACTGCTTCATGTCAAGCCATCATGGAGTTCAAAGTTGTCCGTTTTCACGACAAAAATCCTCAGGGGGTACTCTCTTACATTAACCTTATAGATATTGCTCTGAAATAGTGTAAAGATTAGGAGAGCCGGACGGTGCACCCCCTCTACGACTTGCCAGCAATAACCCTGCCAGAAAAAAAATGGAACTCATTTTATAAACTGGGCTGTCCCACAGGCAGCCCAGTTAATAAATGTCAGTTCCCTACGTCACATACTTTGGAAAATTATTCGGTTCGCGACAACTTAAACGTCGGACGGGAAAAAAAGGAGGCAAGCTTTTTTGACCATCTGAACTGTTGCTCTGAATAAAAGACATAAAAGGATTGCATTACAAACCAATCTTCCTTTTTCACTTTTAATTTGCAAATTGTAACTTTCCTTTTAAATTCCGATTTCATTTCCCTGATGCTCAGTTCTTCTCAAGACTTCGTTTAATGAGAAAGAATTCAATTGACAAACACCTCAAGTTTTATTAATGCTCAACGAAATATAGTCAAAGTTAGGAACCACAAGAAATACAACCAGAGCGTCTCTGGTTACCGATGCGGGAACATTAACATTACCATTTGCATTTACAAAGAAGAGTGATGACGTAAATCAGAAAGAAACCTAAACATTGTCATCAATATGATTTTTTTCAAAAGAGTAAACAGTACCTGCTAAAAGTCGTGCAGCCTCGAGAAAGACCAAGAGAAGAGGCCAGTGATAACAAAGAAACGAATTTCTCCTACTGAACACGAATCGATTGCTTGTCTGGAAAGTAATAAACAACAGGCCTTCATGTGCGCGGGAACTCGCCCGCTAACAGCAACTGTTTAAAGGCTAACAACTAATCAATATACTGAGAAGAAGTATTTTGAGATTGCTTCTAACAGCCTTTTTGTTAAGTCTCTTTACTTACGAGAAACTATACCATGATCCTATGATCAGAACCTACAAATATGCTAAGACATCGAAATTCTCGTTCAGCTTACCACCTTCTCCACGTCAAAGACTTTTCGTCGCTTATCTGAATAATTAGGCTTCAGGGTCGTTTAGGTGATTCCAAATAAGAATCAATTCATCCCTGAAAGGTGCTAGTCAGACAACCAGAGAGTTCGTGTTCCTTTGAAGGTTTCTCCTGAAACAAAAATGGTAATGTACAATGTTTCCTGATAGCGATGAGATAATCAGACAGACCGTACACTCACGCGAAGTCAATTAACTGGCAAATACCTGTGCAAACTGATGCCTGTTGTCAGAGAAAAGGTACTTAATGGACGACTCTCCACGTACATCAACTAAAGCGAAGATCCCAGTGCCATTTTAATTTCCTCAGACGCAACTGCGTACTTCTGAAAAGAATGGGAAGTACCACTGTGGAAAGATCACGAGTTCGGAAATGCCATCAATTATACGCGACGTAGCGTGACCAAAGTTAATTTAGACACGCGATGTAGAAAGTCACACTATGCTAAGATCACGGGATGCATCTAACGCAGGCCTAGTGCCAACCCCTGCTAAAGGAAAATGTGGAGGCTCTTGAAATAACATCGGGAGATTCTACAAAAAGTAGTGAGATTCTATTTTTTCCCGATCAAGATTAAACGCACCCTTTTTCCATTGGGGGAATTATTTGTTTGTTTAAATATAACCGTGCTTTGGTGTGGTCCCTCTGACAACAAATTAGATACCGCTTTTTCTTTGATGAATTTAAAACGCCAGAGAATAGGTCATCACGTGGACGAAACTTACAGCAAAGAGTCGTTTTTTCCTGATGAGCCAACTTCATGGCTAAAGTGTTTGACAAAGTTCCATCAAGGGGTAAACAGGCACCAGCGTTCCCCACGAAATTTCCGTTTTTATTCATCAGGGTAACATTTCATTTCAGAATGAGGTGTTGTCGTGAGAAAAGATAAAAATTCGTGAGAGTCACGGCAGAATCGTGAGAGTTGTCAGGTCTGCTAACGAGATTTTGTGAATTGCAATTGTCGCGCCATATCACCATTGAAATGGAATTCCAGGCGGGTGTTATGGGAGAATTTGTCAGTACAGGTAATTCGGGTTCCTATGGTGGTATAGGTGTGTAACTTTGGAACGATACGCCATCAGGATTTCTATTCTGTCACGTCACATGAAAGAAAGGCTATACTCCATATCCTCGAACTCTCGACCGGACCCATCAGGTTAGGTAACAGTTTTGAGGGCGACAAAAATGGCACCAAAAACTTCCCCAATCAAGTTCCCCTGCGACATCCAAACAGATAAGTACCCATTAGGGCAGCTTCAAGCATGCGTCTAACGAGAAAAACCTGCATTTGAGGCACTTGTTTTGAAACATTTGGTCGTTGGGTGCCTCTGAAGAGAGGACAAGAACTGATAATCCTGATAAGTGGATATCGATTTGCTAAAACACTGAAGATTCCTTCAAGATTCAAATTCAAATCTTCTTTATTTTTTTCTATATTTCAAGGTATTTCTACTACATTACAATATAGCACAAGAACAGAGAAAAAAGAACAGCAAATTACAAATGAATATCATGAAAGGTAAAATTTGCGGAGTGACCAAAGTGCTGAGCTACATGTAATGGAGAAGAAAAAAGTCTTACTTACAATTTTATGTTAAAAAGCAATAAAAAAAAGCCATAGATCATAGAAATAATTATTAGTAGTAGACACCGACTGAGAAATCAAATCACTAGAATCTCTGCCTTGAGTTCTCGTTTGATACTGGGTAAAAATTCTTCTTTCCACGTACACCCGAGTCTCTCCCCCATTTGCTTTAATATCCCGAATCCCGATATTCAAATAAGGCAAATCCCGCATCTCGAAAAACCCGGCTATTGGGGTCCCTCTTAGCAGTCTGTCTCTCTCCATCTCTTGCACGATGGGACAATTAGGAAAGAGCCCTGAGAACGAGGTCATCGGTTTCTTTCTTGCATTTTACCTTCTACTTTTTGTTTCTGTTATTTATTTTTTTAACTGTTAGCACGGTAAAGAATCATTGATATCTCCCCAATAAAAAACCTGATTGGTTCCTTCTGCAGACTGCGTGATCAGTGAATCCATTCTACCATCATACAAACCAAACACCCCACCTAAAAAACAAAAAAAAATGGCATCATTAACAAAAGCCAATTGCCCAGGGGCGCAAATCTGTCTTATACACCGTAAGGCCTGGGTCATAGAGTGATAGATTTTCAGGCTATTTATAGATTCATTTGTGGCGCCAAAATATTCTCAACCAATCAGAGCAGAGATGTGGCGAATGAGGTCGGCGAAGTGTTTGGCGAGGAGAGTTTAACTGGTTGAAGAACCTTGGACGCTGTGAGAAACAATTCAAGGAAACAATGTCTCGGAGGTCAACTGCGATGTTGGACTGAGCACGTTTGTGAACACAGCTAATATCGCGAGATAAGAAATCTAAAAACAGCACTTACTAGTATCCAATGGACTCTCCGGATTGGTGGGTCCCGTCACATATCACTTTAAGTCAATGTACAGTGTAAGCAAGTATACAGTATGCATTTTTGTTTTCAGTGCCCAATTAGTGACATTAGCATTAGGTATACCTCCCTACCTCCCTACCTATATACCTCTGTATACCTATCGACAGTATGACAACCAGCAAATAATTTGTATTTCGCGTAGCAATTGACATAAGAGTGTGAATTATTGAATTTACAACATGCTTCTCAACAGAGAGAAAGCCTTAATTAAACCCTCAGTCAGACTGAGGAAGATAGTGATGAAATCTTGTACCTGTATGGATGTAAAGTACTCTTTTTCCTTTGAATCTGCCAGGATTACTCTTCATCTCTGTTAACATTCCTCTAATTGCCTTTATATTGTACACTGGATCTACCAATATTCCAGTTGTTCTTGAGATCTCAATAATATTCTCTGCAATTTGATAACATAATACAATGCACACCTCTTATTGTGTCACACCAAACGTCTCAGTCAATTACTACATTGTATTTTACTAGTGACTCAGTCAGTTCTGGCCATGTATTCCCTCCCCCTTCCCCTCAAAGTCTTTGAAGTTGGTAACATGACAGAATATATGACGTCACAGGGTAATATTGCCAAAGACTTAGCTGGAAGCAGTAGTATTGTAATTTGTATGTCATGTGAATTGAAGGAGCCAGAAAGATTGCCCACGTTTTCGAATTAAATTAAGTGGCAAACCTATGAGAAGAGTCGGGGATAGTGGGGGATGCTTTGGGAGTTGCAGGTACGGTCTAATGTGCATTATTTTACAATGTTATACCAAGCAACTTTAACAGTGTGCACAAATGGATCCCTCTATCAAACACTTCTTCTGTTTGACCACCAGACTACCCACCTGCCTCATATCGATTGAACATTAAATTTCGTTGTAACTCGATATGTCGCAGCTCTTTTGTTTCGGGGCTAAGGTCTATTCTCAACTTTGTTTATTCATTGTTTTCCCAACCAATCCCGTGAGCAGTTGAATGCACCTACTCACACTCCTTTTGCATCCGTCAATAATATCGCCTTCTTCTTGAAAAACAATTTAGCTAGTCCTAACATGCGTGCACCTAGTTCATGTTGAGTTGACACACCATAATCTCCTCCTTTGTATCCATCAATAATATCTATAATATCTTCTGCTTTGACGTCAATTCCCCCAGTCCTACCCACCTAGTTCATGTTGAGCTGACACACCATATCCTCCTCCTTTGTATCCATCAATAATATCTATAATATCTTCTGCTTTGACGTCAATTCCCCCACTCCTAAGGTCTTCATTGATTTTATTGTAAAAGTAAGCTGCATTGTCCGACACATTGACTGCATGGCATCTACAAAGTTGAAAAGAGGCAAAATTTTTCTCAGCTTTAACTTTTTTTTACAAAGTTATATACGGAGAGGCTTTGCCTGAAGGTCCAATCCCCTACCCATTTACATATATACCTTTTTTTACAGAAAAGGTCCCCCTTTCATATACCTTCTATTGACAAATGGTATCCCTTTCACATACCTAGATTAGAACTTTGTATCCCTTTTAGGGCCTTTTAAATTCACTGTCTTTTCATATGAATAAACCCCAAAGCCAGAACATTTTCTCAACTATTTCATAGCCATAAAAATAATGCATATGTCAGCCCTTTTGATCCTTAGTTACAGCGAGACCGAAATCACCGATTTCCCTACTCTTTCGTATACTTGAAATTCCTAGCTTTTCACATACACTGTACCAGAAAAGGGGTGTCGCCAGCTTTTTGACTAGTTGTAGGCCTGGCTGACTTTTATTTCCACATATCCTGAAAATTGCAAGCATGACTAGTACACACTGACCTCACCAACACTTTGAGGTCTTATAGAAGCTTCTTGGTTCACCCCAACAACACATAGTTTATTACAAGTGGTAGAGTGATCAAACCAAAAATTTTTAGGCCTGGGCCTACAGGTCTATGGGCTGGCTAAGTCCCTGCTGAAGCCCAAAAAATGGTACCCTTTTGGGGGGAGTCTCCCCAAATAGGCCATTATAGGGAGTAACTCCCTCCACTGGAAGTTCAGCCGATTAAAAGTATCAACTGTAAACTCATGAACAATTCCTTAAGAAGCAGTAGATCTCTTTAATTAGCCTTTGCAGAACATCCACAATTTCTTTTCAAATCTTACTGGCCAAGCCATAAAGATACAAAATTTCACTTTTCCCAACAAAAGAGCAGAAGAAAAGCAGAAAGAAAAGCAAACATAGTTTTTGAACTGCAATAGGGACAGTTTAATTGCTTTGCTTTGCTTTTCTTCCTTCATTTCTTATTGACTGACCAGAAAGTGCCTTAATGCTGCTTTTAAAGGCCAGTGATTTTTTTCTATTTGTTGTTGTTGTTTATTGTTTACCAAGTAGTCCACTATTATGGCCTTAAAATTGAAACATTAATGTATTTTGCTTCAATTATTTTTTCTATATTATACTCTACTTTCATTTTGTACTTTTTTTAATTTCCAGTATGTTACTTTGCTTTGCTGGGAAAACCGCCTCTGTTACTAAAAGTAGGTGGGAAACATGGAGCAATTTTGCCTTTGAAGGATCTATATCAACCCTTATGATAAATTTTCCAAAACAGAGAAAAAAAAATACAGAAAATTGGCAATTATTCTTTTCGGCATTTAGTCATAATCCATAGAAAACTGACCACATTTTGAGCAAAGTAAAAGTATCTCTTTTAACAAAGCAAATGCATGGTTGATCCTAAATAACTATTAATATTTAAATGCAAACTGGAGCCTTACTTGAGTTTTGAGCCAGTCAAGTAATTGCCAATAGCAATTCCTGATGCTGTTCCTCCACTGCCGACAGTAACTACAATATCATCATAATCTTCCAACACATTCTGAATAAATATGAAAACCATCCAAACAATAAGTAAAAACTACTAAGATCTCACAAATTACAACTTAAAAAAAAGCAAAATAATTTAAAAAATATACATGTATGGATCTGGATTGATCAACCCTTAATTCAATTAGCCTGTGGCAACCATGTTTGACATTTCAGATGCTTCCTTCTGGAAAAAAGTTCTGTCAAAGGCATTCTGATCAGTGCAACAATGTAGAATTTCTATTCAACTTACCTTTGTTTTGTCTACTTGAAAAAAAAGGGAGACATTGAAAGTAATATTGAGATGAAAAGTCACTTACTAGACCTTAGAAATCATTTTTTGAATAGCTTCATGTCATGTATTATAGGCAAAATAAAATTCAGTTTTTTTAAACCTACTTTACTCAATTTTCTTTGCCTCCTATTAAGCCCAGTTCATGAATAATTCATGTCGGTTTAGGAAACAAAGGAAATAAATCTACCCAGGTTAAAAAAATTATTAACCTGAATTTTCTTTTGACATACAAAATGCATGTTACATAACCCATTCCATACAAATAACTTGTACCTGTTCTATCATCTCTTGAAATGCAGTCAAGTAACCAAACATCCCTGTGTAAGATGAACCACCTATCTCTATCAAATATGCTGAGGATCCCTGTTGCTTTCTGAGAAAATAAATGAGACTAACAATTAATACAACACTGAAACTGCTATATGGTTTGGCCCTTGAGGACATTTTGAGTTGACCAGCAATATTTTAAAATCAGTTACATGTAATTATAAACAGGTATTATTATTCAATGAGTATGAAAAAATATTCACTGGCTTCAGTGTACTTAATAATAGAAGCAAAAAGGGAAATTAGAAATCAAATTTCTTTTGATGAGGAGGGACAAAAAACCTTAAGTTTATAATTTGTGGGTAGCCAATACAAGTGTAGGGTTTCCTGATCTTTTTCCAGAAGTCCTATCATACAATGTATACCACTAAGAATGTTTCAGCTATAAAAAAAGGTTTTTGTAGTCTCTTTTTAAGTCAATAGCCACTTACAATTTTTCTGCCATTTTCTCCATCATTTGTTTAAGGCCTGATTTATATTGGAGTTTTGGAACAACAATAATACGGCTTCCAACCATTTTGTTTAGAAAAAGATTTCCTTTACATCCAATATCTGTAGACTGCATCAACATGAACAAGAATCAATGTTCTACAGTGTACTCCCATGAGGGCACTTGCATGTAGTTTAAAAGTTAACAGAAAGATAAGATATGTTAAGATAAACATAGTGGGAATCAGGAACAACTTTCGGGACTTGTAGAAAGGTGTCCATCACATTTAGAGAAACTAGTTGCAGAAAATGACTGAAAACAGCAAGGGAAGCAACCAACAGTAGGTGTCCTTTTTACAGAGGTTTTTAAAAGTGTGCTCCAGCTAGTTGACTGTGTTGGAATATTTGTGCCTGGTGACACAATGACACAAGGCAACATAGTGATTAGTGCAGTAGATTGCTATTGTGTATACCAGTAGTTCTGAGGTGGCTACTGTGTAGAGGCATACGAAATTATAACCCTTTTAATAAATTTAATGTAGGATTCAAAATGGCAGCACAAGGGTGGTGGAAAGACTTGTGCAAGAGTTAGAGCATGCACGCACATCCAAATAATTATTAATGTACCCCAGGTTGGAATATTGTGGAAGTGAAACCATACATTGCATTGAATTTGTTATTGGCTCTCAATCCTTGTGGCAAGAATGTTCCTCTGGTTCCCATAGCAGTAAATATATGAGCTAATGTGAGGATGGGGCATAAAGGTGACTGATGTAAAAAGGTGGTCATTCATGATTCTGCACATTACAAGAAAACATACACAGCTAACCTGTTCAGAGCTTCTAAGAAACAAATAACAATCCAAGCCAAGCTGTCTTGCTGCTACTGCAGTGGCTCTACAATGATTTGACTGCACTCCACCACATGTAAAAATAGTGTCGCACTTCTTATTCAGTGCATCAGCTAAAAGAAACTCCAACTTCCGTACCTATAACATGGCACACAATAAAACAATTATGAAAAGACTAGGGAGTAAATGTTATAGGTAAAAAAAAAATCGTTCAGGTTAAAATGGTTAATCATTAACTTAGGTTGATTCTCAATTTCCATGTACTGTAACGTACTGCAACTATTCATGATCACGAATAATTAAGGGCTAAGAGAAAAGGAGAATCAAAATTGAGAATCAACTTACATGTATAAAAATACTGGTTTGACAGGAACAAAAAGAAATGGTAGGAGTAGTGTACACAAACTCTACCTCAGAGTGTCATATCTAAAGAACATCATGAGTCTCTATGGTTATTGAGATTAATGACAACAAGTTGCACAATAGGGGAATTATTTGCTAACAAAGAAACCTCCAAAATAGTAATATTTTCTCTCCTTACTGTTTCCCACAAAATTTTATAATATTTACATATATATATTTAGCAATTAAAGAATTTGGCTTTCGTACGATATGAAGAATTCTGCACATCAAGAAGGGTGTTTGGCCTGGGTAACACCCACCAAGATCTGCAGAATTCTTCATATCCTGTGAAAGCCCAATTCAATTACTGCTTTATTATTCAATCAAAATAATTCCAAGTTTAAAAACAAGCTAAAACATACTTAGCTCGGTCGCAAAATTCTTCCAAATTTGGTCAACAGTAGCTGGTTATGATGAATTATGCCTTTGATTTTAGCCAATCAGAAACAGAGAAATATTTTGAATGAATAATAAATATATTTATAGCATGACCTAAGAGCTTATTAAGATTTGACATGCCCTTTGATAGAATTAACAGCACTTTTTATCACAAGTGAGGTATGTTTAAACTGTGTGTATTACATGACTTCACCTTATTTCCAGACAAAGTGCTGCCAGTTAAGTCATCCCTTTTGATGCTCAAAGAAAATCCCTCAGGAAGATTTGAGATATTCCATGGATGGATTGGAGTGTTTCGCTGTGCAAGCTATGGGACAGAGAATAATTCCTGTGCTTAGAAAAATGGTTTAAGTCACAAATAAGACAAAATAAAAAAATAATAATAATTGTCAAATTTCTCAAGACAGGGGTCTTATGCGCAATGGAGCTCGAAGAGGCAAGGTCGGTAGGTAGGTTCTCAAGACAAACTTTGTTGGGACAGCACCCATGCATCTTCAAGAGCAAATGACTTGGGAGAAGAAATTGTATGATGCATTCTTGCTGTCTTTGCAGTTGATCCAAAACTGACTTTTTGGTTGCCAGTTTTTACTAAAGTATCATACAGTAGTCGTAACAGAAGAAAAGGCTACTACTATACTAATGGAGCACCTTCTACAAAATGACTCTGAGGTCTAATGATTATGCAATTGTCAATGGTCATTCCATTCTCCCTGGGGACTTATGTGGGCATGGTCCACTGGATTTGTTGACATTTGCTGCCAATTTTCAATTTTCAGCCCAGGATGGGGGATTGGATTGCTTTTGCAATTTTATAGCAGAATCCCTAAGGAAAGACCCCCAGGATTTGTTATGCACCTAGCAGAAATGGCTGGGAGAGAGAATAACGAGACAAGTATAGAGAATGTTGTCCTTTCCCATTCCTTGACTTACAAAGAAAGCTCATTTTCATTCCATGTAGTAGACAAGTGTAGGCTGAGGCCGGACTTCGAACTTTCCTTGAGACAAAACCAAATTGTGATTTGTGTGGATCTTGATTGAGTTTGACAGCTGGACCAATTACAAAATTAAGTAAGCATCTAACCATGGTGCAGCCAAACCACCCATCATCAGGTACCATTATATAACGATAAGATAAATGTATCTTGGTGGAAGGCCAATCAAACAAAAGTCCAGATTTTGGACTACAGGCAGATCATGACTCCTATCACCTTCCAAAGAAAAAGGGAATAAAGACTACCTCATCCCTGGTTACAGCTAGGCTGCCTCAAAAAATGAAACTGGCAGGGACGAAAAGCATTTGGTTATTGTTGTTGTTTTTCTTAGTTTTTTAACTTTCCCTTACAGCTGTACCAAAAAAAAGAGGCATTTTAAGTCAAAAAAAGACATAAAGGAAAATTTTACTACAATCGGGAAGTCCTTTCAAATACTAAACTTTATGACGCGAGGCTTTATCTGAAGAGTCTGAATCAACTGTTACCCTCCCCCCCCAGGGGGGACAACAGGGGGGATGCAAACAGCTTTGTGCAAATGGCAGGGGTTCCTTGGGGGCGACCCCTTGGGATGCCCGCTGGTAAGTGCATTAGGCTGAGGAATAGGCCATTTGCACTAAGAGGTCATGTGACATCGTATTTATGAAAATAAAAGTTATATGATTTTGCCTTTGCAAAACGTTTTAGAGTGGCTCATATCTTAAACAAAATAATAGTGATTTGGTTTTTCAAACTCACACTATTTTCTTAAAATGAGTAAGTTTGTAACTGCTGACCAAAATGTGATTTTTTTATGAATTTCCTCCTTCTGAACACAAATTTTGCACTTAGACTTCAAGGAAAATTTTGAAAAGATGATGTGGTAACGTTTACTGCACATCTGAGCATACGTAACTATCAAACATTTAACAAAATATAAGCAAAAAGTAGTTTTGGCTGCCATGTTGGAGGGCAAGAATATGCCCTCCAACATTGGGGCCAATACAAATCATACTACTTTGTTGAAAAAGCAAAGTCCCATAAAATATCTCCCTTAAATGCGTTTCGTCTCAAATTTCAGGTATAAGATCATTTTTATGTGCTCTCTCAACTTTTGGCATCAGCAAGATTTCCAACTCATTGTTTAAAGGAAGCATTGGTCACGTGACCTCTTAGTGCCAGTGGCCCATTGAGTGAATCAAATGCAGCTAGGGAAGGAGGTGTGGGACAATAAAAAATATTCAGTACTTAAAAAAACATTGCATTTTTAAATAAGTTAACTGATAATAAGCTTAACGGTAAGTGGAGAAACAAAACATCGTTAGGACTTAAGGTTGATTTCCACTGATGCGTTTTTGGCTATGCACGTTAATGCATCAGTCAATTCCAGCTGCACCCGGGGGCTGGGCATCTGCCAACCCCGTGGCTATTCCCGAGCTTTTAAGATGCACATGGTTTCCTATCAGAATATAACTACACAGAGGATATTACTGAAAAAAAAGCAGATTAGCTCATCTGTCAAGGACAGGGGGTTGTAAAGGCCTGTTTTTTTATATATTTTTTAAATCAATACTAAAACCATAAACTGGTGCATGTCGTCACAACGTGAAGTCTTAATCAGAATTCTAGCGCTATTACAAAGGAAGACGTTACTTGAAACAAAAAAAGTGCACATTAAAGTGTTTTAAAACGGCACTATTCGACTGTGCAATCAATGAAAAATGTTGCAATGTTGACTGAGGACAGGGTATTTGCCCTCTTTTTCCCCTCCAATGGGAATCTGCCATCCAACGTAAAAAAAATGCTAATGCCCGGGGGTAAGCCCGGGGAGGAGGGGGGCTGGGCGCAGCTGGAATTGACTGATGCATAACGCAGGTAAATTTTAATCACGTAAATAAAATAGAGGCAAGACAAAAAGTGCTGAGCTTAAACGAGAAGTTGAGCGAGGTTCAACGGTTACGCTTACGATCGAGCGACCTTTCATGCTTGGCTCAATTTAGTTGCTCGTGAAAATTACACGACACTGGAAATCAACCCTAAGTTGGAACTAAATTTAGATTGTGCGAGTGGTGGACAAGGTAAAAATAAGGGACGTCAAAGCGAAACTTTAACAAGTTATATCAAAATTACTTACTTGAACAAAGAATTGTGGAATATCTTTCAGTGAAGAAGCCCATTTTGGGGGCTCGTATGAGCGCAACTGTGTCAGCATGTTTAAGCCTCGAGAAATATTTCTGTTCATTTTCAAATAAAATATCTTACATCAGCTAGCGTTCTGAGTCCATGCCAGTTTCATATTTTGAAGATGAGGGAAAAAGGCACTTTTTGATGAGGGAAAACGAGGTTTTTGCCCTCCAAAACATCACGATCGATCGCGATTACAAGGGAGCTATAAAAGCGGGTAGTACTTGGTGTAAGACTGCCCAAAATGTCCAAAAAGGGGGTACTTTACCATGGGGAAGATTGTAATAGAGGGCCAAAAAATGACCCTCCAATACTCGAGCCCGCGTTTTTATTGGTCAATAGGTGACCTTACATGACGTACTTGCTGGGTTGTTTGCCGCTCGCTTGGTCGATCGCTTGTCAGTTGTTAACCGTCGCGTTGTAGGTGCTGTTGTACCATGCTAAAACGTTCTCCCGCAAAGAGAGATTTTAGACATAACGGGGAGATAAAAATAAAAAAGAGCAAAGAAGTTGCTTCTTCATCAACCAGCAAAGTGGATGAAGATTTGGTAAGGTCTTTCTGTTTGTTTTCTGTCATGGCACCCCTTTTCACCTTTTCACGTATTAGGGGTAAGCTCATATGATTTCTAGTTCAACGTTTTAATACTTCCTCAGATTTTCTGGAATGAAAAAAGCGTTTAATTCGCGAGGAAGCTAACATATTTATTATACTACTGAGTTGATCATCGTTAAAAAGGGAACTTGTTCTTTTTTCCATGATTGAGGGCAAGCTACCACGACATATGACATGAAGAGCTTTGTTTTGGTACTAGCATGATTTGTAGTGATATTTGGCATAAATACCACGAGTGATATTTCGAAATTGTTATACGTAATTTCAAATTTGAGACAATTTTGAAATATCACAAGTGGTATTTATGCCAAATATCACGTACAAATCATGCTATTATTTGTTTATACTACTACCTGCAAAAGCTTTGTAATTTTCACATGTAGGTATTTCAAATTAAGCTGAAATACCACTTCTCTAAGCCCATCAAATAGCAGTAATTTTTCATGTAGTAGTGTAAGGCGCCTAATCTATCGATTTCCAGGGTTTACCTCAGTGTAAGAACCTGTGAACTTTTTCTTTGTTTCGCACCTTTTGTTTTTCTATGTTCTATTGCATTGACTTCTTTGTTTCCTCTGTTTTACGCCACTTGTGAGTTTAACAGGTTCTTACACCGAGGATGAGCCGATTTCCGTTTATGGAAGTCAAAAAGCAACCTTGAACTGTAGACCATAACAAATAAATATATGGCAGCACTCCTTCATACTTTATCTATCAATAGTTGGCACTACAGCTGCCCCCGCTCTGTATGTATCGTGGTCGGTCAATAGTCTTCTTGTTTGTGTAGCTCTTTCAATAACATAGATTCATAATGGATATTTTCACACATATTGCATACATAGATAAGAACACAAAACAAAAAGTTTCATGCAGCGATTCAGTTCGATTTTAAAGCAGCTCAGATCAAACCATTCTCAGTTTCGAGAATATTTTATTCTAAAATATAAGCAAAGATTTGATTAGAAGTTGTAATTCTTCACTATTTCTCTTTTACTTTTAACTCATTTAAAATGTTTGATCACGTTGCTCTTGGGCATTCTTGTCATTTAACTTTTACGACAATACATTAATGAGAATTCAATGAAGAGAATCATTTCATTATGATGGAAAGATATCTGTTGAAGAGCAGTATTCACCATTTTGCATTCCGCAGGATATACTGAAAGCAAAGTTTATGCAACAATATTGGGAGGGGGCAGACGGACAAGGTGTATTAGGGAATGCAAAAATAACAAATACTTGTGGTTATATAAATGTCACTTACGATCTGAACAAGTTGAGTAATTCATAAGTTTTTTGGCAAGTCTTTCTTACATGTAGCTGAACCATACATTTATATACAAATATGGAAACCTTGAAAGTTTAGCTCTGTGGATTTGACCTTAAAGTGGAAATCAAAGTTCTATTGTAAGATGATACAAAATATTTTATTTCCTTAAATAAAAGCCATCCCTCTATTAACCACCTCCCTCAAATAAGAAATCTTTTCTAGTAATAGTTGACAATACAGCTCCACCCCCTCTGTATATTGTCGGTCAATAGTATTCTTGGTCCTTGTGTAGCTCTTTGAAATATACCAATTCATGATCAAAGATTTTCACACATATTCTATACAGAAGGTGAGAGTAAAAACAGGAAACGAAAGGTTCCATGCACTGTTTCAGTTCAATTTACACAGCTACGATCTGAAAGCATTCTCTGTCTTGAGAATAGTTTATTTTAAACCATTACAAAAGATTTAGTTATTAGAAGTTAAAGTTTTACAAACAGTTCATTTTATTTGCCTGAAATTAAGCCTTAGAAATTAAAAGGTTTGATCAATAATTGCTCACAGATGTCCTTCAGGGGATAAAGTATTAGAAATGGCTAGAACATGCCAAAGAGATAGAGAAAGAGATCAAAGATCTGTGAACTCGTGTCTGGCAAACTATCCAAGTGTTTATATACACAGTCATACACACCTTATAACCTCATCTCCGCTTAACGATGTAACATTTCCCAAGCATTCGTTATATAGACGTGTTCGATATAGCGAACCCTCCACTTAACTAACACATTTCCCCAGTCCCTTTGCATATTAAATCGAAGTTCCACAATGTACTTCGATCACTAAAACTCCTTTTAAACTATATCATACAGCAGAGAAGTTGATAACGGATTTGTTGTTGTTCTTGTTGCAGGAAGACGAAAAGTGATTAATGAAAGAAGATTATTAAGAAAAATAAATATTAATCTTTTTTTTTTTTTTTTTTAAATGGTGTATTCAATTGTATTTAAAACAAAACTTTTGAACGTCGTTTCTCCTTAGACAACAAGTACTCGCACGTCCAAGCTCCTTACAGAGGCGTCTTCTCTATTTTCTAAACAACCATTTTTCGACTAGGTTCTATTTTTTAAGAGCAGGGGATTTTTACATAAAACTTCATTGACAATCATTATCATTAACCTCTCTCATAATATTGGGAAGGCTTTTCGTTGTGCGTGGTTTGTAGAATCTCGTTTTTGACTTTCTTTTACTATTCATTGTAAATATTATTATTCTTTAAAAGTTCATATCTCAGTTTATTTGTTGCTTTGGTGCATGTATGTTCTTTTTATCCCCATATAACGGTGACGTGGGATCCTATTCACCACCGGTGTTTAGTTTTCTGTAAGCTAAAAATAAATTTAAGTAAAACCTTCATACACCAAGAAGGGTGGCTTCAGAAAAGAATAAGGCCCGAGGATGATAATTGGTGGTAGAAATGAATAGTCTGTTGAACGTTGTGCTTCGTCTTCGACAACAACTAGTCAAACATTAGAGCTCGTTACAAAGCTTTCTTCTCTATTTTTTCAATCACTATTGATTTTATTCACATTGAAATGTTGCGGGTCTTAGGCTCAGTAAACCTTGTAACACACATTTCCTAAACTCCTTTTTTTTTATTGGAAATACTTTTCATTGCGCGTGTTGACTAGAATCTCGTTATTGACCCTCTTTTACCATTCATTGTTATTCTTTATTATTAGTTAATTTGTTGTTATAACTTAAGAATCATCTTGTACATGCGTGACCCTGTACTCAAAACCGTGAAGTAAAAAGGTTCATACTCTCTCCAACATCAATACCACAGCATAAAAGGAGATTTAAGTCTTCGACATATTGTATACCGCATAACCCAACCTAGAGAGTACAGTGGGAGATCGAGGGGAGGGGCCTGGGCCATTATTTTTAGACCAGAATGAGGCTCGAAGAGCAGAAAATGTTATTTTAAACTGGGTCCGCCACTGCAGTAACATCGAAAAGAATGTGGCAGTTTGAAAGTATCAGAAAAGTTCTCGAATTTTATAGACGGTGTTCTCTTGAAAGGAAATTTCTTTCTTCCCAATGACCGAGTACTTTAAAGTCGATGATTACGAAAACTAACGTTTTGGAAACCCATAACCACCGGATTGTAGCTTCCAGTAAGTTTTAACTAAAAAGACTAACGATTGCATGGATAAGAAAAGATTAAAAAAAACCTTCATGACAACAAAATGGGTCGCTTCGGACGATCAGCCGAAGATGATAACAAGAAAAAAAGACCAGTCACTTGAATGCTGTTTTTCTAGTCAAACTGTTTCAACGAGTCAAACGTCTGAGCTCCTTACAAAGACATTTCTCCATTTTTTAAAAAAACCGAATTTCGAGTAGCTTTTCTCTTTTTTTACGTTTAATGAATTCTTAGCAAATCTTTGAATCAAAATAACCCATTTAAATTTGTTACTAGTAACGGGAAAGGCTTTTCCATGGACATGGTTAGTAGAACATTGTTTATGACCCTCGTTTACCATTCGTTGAATTATTCTGTGTAAGGCATTATTTGTTGTTACAGGGTCAACTATTCTCGAACTTGCTTTGGTGCGTGTAATTTTTTAGCCGTATATAACGGTGACGTGGGAGGGTCGACATTCTTTCCAGAATAAGAAACTACAACAAGACATCTACCGATGAAAAGCAAAACGGACGATTTCGATGCCTAATCACCACCGGTGTTTTTCTTTCTGTATGCTTGAAATAAATTTAAATAAAACCTTCATACACCAAGAAAGATGAGTTCAGAAAGAAAAAGGCCCGAAGATGATTATTGGTGATAGAAAACAATAGTCTCTTGACCGTTATGCTTCCTCTCACAACAACGAGTCAAACGTTTGAGCTCCTTTTTAAGGTATCTTCTAGATTTTCCTAAAAACCATATTTCGACCAGAAAGGACCTTATTCACATTCAAATGTAGCAAATTCTTAGGCTAAACCGTGAAAGACCAACTTTCTACACTCCTTTTTTATTAATGGCAAGGCTTTTCGTTGCGCGTGGTAAGTAGAGTCTCCTTTTTGACCCTCCTTTACCATTCATCATATTATTCTTAACCTTTTACCATTCATTGTTTTATTCCTTAGAACTTTATTTTTTAGCTTATTTGTTGCTATA